GGGTCCTGTGATAGATTGATTCCCATTTTCCTGAGGAACCCCCATACTGATCTCCAAAATGGCTGTATGAGTTTGCACTCCCACCAGCAGTGGAGGAGTGTTTCCCCTTTCTCCACATCCTCTCCAGCATGAGCTGTCATTGGTGTTCCTAATTTTAGCCATTCTGACAGGAGCAATATGGTCTCAGAGTTGATTTGATTTGCATTTCCCTGATGGCTAAGTGTTGAGCACTTTCTTAAGTGTCTTTCAGTCATTTTGGATTCCTCTATTGAAAATTCTCTATTCAGTTCTGTACCCCCCACTTTTTAATAGGGTGTTTTGTTGACTAGTTTCTTAAGTTCTTTGTATATTTTGGAGATCAGCTCTCTGTCAGATGTGGGGTTGGTGAAGATTGTTTCTCAGTCTCTGGGCTGCCATTTGGCTTGTCGACTGTGTCCTTTGCCTTGCAGAAGCTTCTGAGTTTGAGGAGGTCCCATTTATTAATTTATTAATTGTCGATCTCAATGTCTGTGCTACTGGTGTTATGTTCAGGAATGGGTCTCCTGTACCAATTTGTTCAAGGGTACCTCCCACTTTCTCTTCTAAGAGGTTCAGTGTGGCTGGATTGATGTTGAGGTCTTTGCTCCATTTGAACTTGAGTTTTGTGCATGGCAATAGACATGGGTCTATTTGCAGTCTTCTACACACCATCATCCAGTTGTGCCAGTACCATTTGTTGAAGATGTTTTCCTCCTTCAATTGTATAATTTTAGCTGTTTTGTCAAAAATCAGGTGTGGGGGTTAATATCAGGATTTTTGATTGGATTTCGTCCTTAAGCCATGCAGTGAGATTGCCCAAAGGGGAAGAGACTGGAGGAGAGAGGATTTACTGAGCCAATTAGACTAATTCCTTGAACATTATTCATGAAGCCTTTTGAAATCCCCTGCCACTTGCCTGCTGAAGAGAAAGGACAAGGCAGCCCAGACCAGTGGAGCTGTGAGAAAGGCAATGCTAAGTCACAGGTGCGAGGCAGGCCAGCTCTACAGTGACATTGGGTCCGCACAGCCCCACAGCCACTTTGAAGACAGACGTAGGGAGGAGATACCTAAAGTTATCTTTGGAGGTGATGGGTTATAGAAATCACATCCTTGAACTCCAGGGAACCAAGACACCATTACTGAGCCTAGAAGGGATAAGGATAGTTTTGGCAACTTGCACAAGTGAGGAGGCAGGAGTTGTGGGATCATGAGCTCTGTTGCATGTTAAAGACTGTAAAAGAACAACAGGAAACTAAGAGGTGTTTCAAACAAGCCTTATTAGATATTGCTTAATAAAATTTTATCCTTACAACCACAAAGTGCCCTTAATGCTTGTGTATCAATCTCTCTTTAAAAAATAGTACTTATCTAGTTATTTAGTTATTTCTTACGCCTTATGATGTCTTAGCAGTTATATAGTTACTTTTCATATAGGACTTCAGAAATGTCTTTCTGAAGTGTAATTATCTTCTTAGGATGGAACCAACTTTTCTTAAATTTTTATGAACAATTCCATGGGGTATGTTTTTGTTTGGGTTTGTGTAGTGGCGAGGTGAAAAGGTCCTTGCATCAGAAAATAGGTAATGGCATTTGCAAAATATAGTACTAAGTTCATTTTAAAGCACACATGTCATTGTCCACAAGCATAGCAAAGTAGTATCAAATTTTAGCTCATTGCTGCTTCTCAAAATATAATTAGCAAATTTTTTAGTTAACAACTGATTTATCCATTTTGTCATTTTTTGGTGAGTTTTGCCCAACCTTTAAACATTCCCACCCAACAAAGAACCTCCCTGGAGAAGATGCCCTCCTCATATGAGACATGGCCCTTTCTGAGGTCCTTTCTGTGGATCCTCTTATACCCACTCCCGAAGAAGAACCATCTTTCACACTAAATAATGCTTACTCATGTAGCCTGTTTGTGTCAGGCCCTCATATAGGTCTTATTTTTGTAACATTTATTAATTATACACACTTCTGAGGGTCAGAGGACAACTTGAAGGGGTTGACTCTCTTATCATGTGGGTCTCTAGGATCAAACTCAGCTCCTCAGGCCCCAAATATTCATTTTTCACATCTAAGATGATAATTCCTAAAACCTTATGCTCTCAGTTCTTTCTTACTGTAATTTTCATCAGTTTAAAACATAAAAAAATCCTTTATCATTCTTGCATAGGGTTGCTTTTTTAAATTTTTTTTTTTTTTTTGTTTTTTGTTTTTTGTTTAGTTTGCTTTCTCCCTTTCTCTAGGAATACATTAACTTTCTACTCAGCATTTTTGGATACACTCTGCAGATACTAAGGGCCCATGTTTCCATATTGTGTTTACAGAAAATACATTAAAATTTTTCTGAAGACAGTGGGCTTTCTTCTTTGAAATTTTCCCCTCTCTGCTCTTTATAGAAATTCCTTTTAGTCTTGGCCTGCTTTGTCTTACTAACAACATGTACATCTGGGTCTGGATGATTTTAAACCCTTTTCTGCATGTAGATTAGCATCTACCACTGTAATTAACATCTGAAGGAGCTGACTTATAAAGAAAAGGTTTATTCTGGCTTGTAGTTTTAGAGGGTCTAGTCTGTAGTCAGATCTATTTGTTACTTATCTCATAGTTGGTACCAAACGCCTAACATAATAGAACTTATGGGAAGGGAAGTGTATGTCGACTCTTGGTTTGAAAGGGAAACATCTACCACAGCAGGAAACTTGTGGCAGAGTTCATGGCTGCCAGAGTACACAGAGGAGACTCTTCCTGTCTGGGCAGATCAGGAAGGAGGATGAATGTGGGTGCTTGGTTTTCTTTTTCTTTCTTTCTTTCTTAATTTCTTTCTTTCTTTCTTTCTTTCTTTTCTTTTTTTCTTTTTTTCCCCTTTTTATTCAGTCTAGGACACCATCCCATGGGACGGTGCTACCCACATTTCTGGGTGAGTCCTCCCCTCTGTAAACCCTGGAAATACCTTCACAGACATGGCCCATTGTGTGTCTCCTGGTGATTGTAAACCTAGTCAAGGTGACAATGAAGACTGCTCATAATCAGATGGGTCCCTTATCTTGAGTCCTTTAGTGGGAGTGCCACCTGGAAATGTTGGGGAGCAAGTGAAGCACAACTGTTCACCCCAAGAACAATAAGTAAAAGAAAGAGGAAGAGGGGCCAAGCTCCCACCGTTCCCCGTAGGGCATGCCCCAGCTTCCATGAAGACCTTCCAGTACTACACTGTAGGCCATGCCTTTACTCTGAATTTTTGAGAGACACTTCTCAAATAATTGGAACTTGGTTACACAGTAAATCCTGAGACTTAGAAAACGTATGTGTCCAACTTAGTTCACTTCAATAAAAGCTGCTATCAGCTCCAGATAAGCAAAATTGAATGCGACCCAAACACTTCTTCCTTGCCAACAAGAAAGAAATTCCTGGGTTTTTTTTCTTTTGGAGATTTTTTTTCAACATGTTTTGTTTTATAATATAATACCAGTTGGGTAGGTAGCTTAGGATTATGTGAATTCTATATGTATATATATGCTTATATATATCTTATATATGTTTAATGTTTTAAATGAAAGTATATAAAAGTTATTTTTAAAAGTGATCATAATGTATTAGTACTTAACACATTTAGAATTAGAATGGCACCTCTTATAATAAATTACTAAAATAGGAATTATTTAGTATTGTTTTTAGTCTTTAAGTATTTTCCTCAATGTAACTTGATGCCTTAATACAATGTTACCTGCTTTCAAGCATTGTCTAGAGTTCTTTATTCTTGATCAATCATTAATTAATTAACTAGTTTGAGACAGAGTGTCAATGTTAACAGTCCTGGCTGGCCTGGTAGACCAGGCTGACCTTGAACTCACAGAGATCCACCTGCTCCTACAGGGATTAAAGGGAACAACCATCATGCCTGGCCTACTCTTATTTTGAAAAGCATCATTTGACTCTAAATTTAAAACTTTATGGAATGTTCTCTTTTAAAGGACATTTCAAAATATAAACATCTGGGGACTGTGGCTACAGAGCTTTGGACAATGCCCTCATTATCCAGAGTTCATCATATGCTCATGCTGGTACATCTTTGAAATGAGCAGATTTTCTCTGGTCCCCTGGCACTGGGTATGTGTCCCCATTTTCAAGGAGGGGTGCCTGAGAGGTGGAAGGTGCCTTTCAGCATCTGGAAAACAGCTGCATTCTGGTTTCTGACCAATCTTGACATCAGACTGTGAAATTAAAACTATCCCGATAAAACTGATAGATAATCCTAGTGGAGCAGGGTCCTGAATGCCATGATTATTTGATAGCACTATCTCTGGCCCTTCTTTAAAGAGCTACAAAGACTGTCTGAGAGAAGACTATTTGAAACCTGCCCTGTTTGGAATGAAAGGCAACTCCCAATGTATGAGATTTCCCCCCTACCCCCAGTGTCTCCCACTCATCTTCCTTTGATGAGTCAGTGTTGTGAGCATTGACGGTGTATAGTGACTCTATTCTACACACAAATGATATGGATTTCTGCTCTTCTCTGATACTTTGCATAGTTAGTGACTACATTTATATGAGTGAATTTTTATACAGGGTATTGTACTTTTATTACTTTCTTTGTATTGTACTTTTCAATCAATAAACATTTGTAAGTAAGTGTGTGTGTGTGTGTGTGTGTGTGTGTGTGTGTGTGTACCCACCACTGTGCAAGGAGCTAGGAGTTAGATACAGACATAAGTGAATTCACTGTCCTCACCATTAGCCCTTGCTCTGAGGTACCATCTCCATCATGTGCACTCCTTCCTGACTATACATGTCAGCAAATGCAAAATGCAGCAAATGCCTTTCTTTTTTTTTTTTTTTTTTTTTTTTTTTTTAATGTACCTGCCCCATTTGGAAGGAAAGGCCACTCCAAATGTGTGAGATTGCCCTTGACCCCCCCCCAAGTCTCTCTTTTTAATTTTTGCCTTGTTGAAAAATCAAACATTTTGTTTTATGTTTTCCAGGTGAAGCTGACATTTGAGAATGCATATGCTGTGAAAAAGGAAACAGCCCAGCCCAAAAAGAAAAAGACACAGTCGAGCACAAATGATTTGGTGAAACTTCTCTGCGGGTCAGAGGCCGACAGCATCCAGCACAGTATCCTGGACACCCCGCACATCAGCATGTATCTCACGCTGCAGCTCCAGTCAGAGATGTCCAAGGAGGAGGTGAGTGTCTGCTCCCCTATGCTGCAAAAGGAGGGGACCATCTGTCCTTCTAGCATTTTCAGACTTGAAGAGGAACAGAGAGAATGAGCTGTCTCTTATCGCTGTTCTCTATATATTATGTGTGTTGTGCTGCTGTAGATACTTCTTATCAGCAGTGTTTTAAAACAGATAAGAGTGCATGCACTTTTCAGCTCTTCTAAGTGATAGGGAGTGAGACCCCAAAAGCTTCCTTGTCTTTTTCCAGTGTGTTATATGAGGCATGCATTTCTTCATGTTGTTTTCTGTTTAATAAAAGTTGAAATAGTAAAGATTATATTATTTGCATATGTAATACTTGGAATTTTTTGTGTTCTAGAAAATACATAGACATGCAGTGTTAATAATAGTTCTAATTTCTTACACCTTGCTGGCTCCTTGTATCTGTGGAACAAATGAAACATTTAAGCATTTCTTTTTTAAGTCTCCCAAGTTTTGAGTGTACTTTCCAGAACCTTTCTAGCCCACATGTTGTCGTGCCTGACTTTCCCTGGGAAAGTGTGTGAATGCGTTACAAATAAACAAGTTGCTGTCTATGGCCAGTTCTGTAGCAATATCGTGATTAGGAGAGGTTCTTTATTCTTACCATGCAGAGTGGAAGCTTCTGTAAGTGCAAGCTACTAACAAGGGCTTTAAAAATAGAGCTAATTGAATTGGCTGGGCACTGCAGAGCTTGCCAACCCTTCAATACCAAGGCTTTTAAGACTCCTATGGAGACTTCCTTAAATGGCCTTTTTTCCCCTACTATGTTACTTTACAATGAAATGTCATAGGGTCATTTCTTTCTCTGAGAGTTACATAATTGATACAGAACTTCTTTTCAAATTACAAGATTTGGAATGCTAGGACCACAAGACAGAGACTTCTAAAAAGCTAATCAAAGACTGCTTAAAACAGCATTTGGTATTTTGGCAAAGAAGTATTTGTTGGACAAGGTTTAAATTTATTTAGTCAACATCACAGAAGATTTTAACTCATGTTAGATTTTAATTCATGTTTCTAGGGATAACTAATAAAATTATAATAAAGTACTTTGTAAGTATTTTCAAAATTAAAAGTGCAATAAAATTTGAATCATTGTGCAATGTATTTGGCAAACATATCCCATAGTATATATTGAATAATTTGCATATATTAGATGGTCTTAGTAAGTATAAAAAGTAGGTTTCACTGTATGTCATCACCATAACTCTGATGATATAAAAATTGTAAATATATGGACACTGCCACATAACTATTTCTCATATAGATATTTAACAATCTTTAGAGACAGAACTAAGGAAAAGCTAGGCCACTATAATATTCCAGGAGTTTGGACTTTCCATTGTAGTAATTATAGCCATTAGCGCAATTGGAATTTACTCTCAATCCTTCATGATTTCTATCCAGAAGTTTTAATTTTTTGTACTTTTAAACTGCCATGTGAGAAAAATCAATGTTGCCTAAGTGTCTGCAGAAAATGAGGTTCAAGCTGCCCAGTGTTCTAGGAGCATCATCACACTGCAGATCCTAGAGAGTCATTACTGTAGTTTGTTAAAAGCTCTATTTCCTAGAAACAGGGTCTCATTGAAGATAGAAAATAGTAACCATTTTCTACATTATCATGTAAATTAGCATTTTCTACAATTTAAAATAAAATGTGCCCTTTTATATATATTTATACTATTTAAACCTGCCCATATTTAAGTTTCAGATTGTATACTCTTGTGATATTTTTTCTCCCTGTTTGTACTTCTTCAGTTTTGTATTCTTATTTTGTCAATATAATTAAGTAAATATGTAATGATATCACCAAAATAATTATCTTTTAAGATTTGGTATGAAAGAAATTAAAGACTCCTAGAAATAACGCATGGGATTAAAGCTTAAAAGACTATTTGAAATCAATAATAATTTTGACTGTATAGATCGTTCTCCTGGGCAGTATAGTCTCTAAACTTACTTTCAAGTGTAGCATTTGAAATGCTTGTTGAAGTGTGAAGTGTGAAGTTCTGTCCCTGGGTTTGAGTGAAGCTCGACTAAAACTGAAAGGATTGCTGTTCTGTTCTTCATATAAAGTCTGAACTTTCTGGACAGATGTTGAATGTAGCATCTGAGAACATTTGTTCTTTCCCTAACAGCAGGAAATTCTGTACCATTACCCAGTGTCTGAAGCCTCTCAGAAACTCAAGAGTGTAAGGGGGATTTTTCTCACACTCTGTGACATGCTGGAAAGTGTAACTGGAACACAAGTTACCAGGTAACAAGGTTTCACTCTTTTTTTCACATTCTCAAGTTAGTTAGCTAGATAAACCTATTCCTGTCTGTGGCAGAGGTCTACTGTGGGGAGGATATCTGTGCATCTGTTTCTGCTAAACATTGATTTTTATCATTTGGAGTGTATATTTTTATTTAGTCACAGGTCTGGGATTTTCCAGGATCATTTAATTAAGTTAATTAAATGTTGCCTGTTGACCCATAGACAAATCTTCATGACAATGTCATCTTTGAGTTGGCAAGACAGTTCATAGGTAAAGGCACTTGCTGTCAAGCCTGTCAGACTGAGTTAAATTCCAGGGATCAGATAGTGGACTCTTACAAGTTGTCCTCCAAACGCCACACTCAAACTGTGGTACACATGCCATATGCACACATACACAAACATGTAATTACTTTAAAAGAAAGTGTTATATTTTAAACATGGCATTATTATATATCTTGATTTCCTTATGTTTTATTGTGATTGTCAACTCACTAAGCAATATACTAAATTTTCACATGGTTAGAAAATACTCTGATTTTACAGTAATGATATATGTAGAAAAATATAGAATGTGCTGTAGGAGGGCTATTCAGGACTCAGGGTCATGTGAGGTTTATTTAGTAATGAAAGTGCAAAAGAAAAGGAACTGAGATAACACCCTACACATGCCCTTGTGTCCATCCCTAGCACGGGGGAAGGAGAGGGGAAAGATGAGGAGGGAGAGAGGAAAGGGAGGGGAACTCCTCAGCCATTGAAAGAGCCCACCCCACACTATTTGTCAGGCCTGACATTGATGCCATGGTTAAGATAGGGAATGAGGAGCTCAGAACGTTTGACTTTGGTTTTTCATAAAATAAATTATTAGTATTTTTCTACTTTAATATTTCAGTAATCATGAAAAAAGTTTTAGCAGCTCCCATGTTACTGATAAAATATGAAGTTGGGTCTCTCAGATTTTAACTTTTGTTTCCCATCTCCTGGTAAATATTACACTTAAAAGTTTAAGAAGGTATGGGGTATGTAAAATAATGGGAAGAAATTACTTGTTTCCCTAAATAAAAGTTAGGTATAAATTTCTGACTTTTTAATATATAGATATACTAATTATATATTTGAAGATAGTAGGATGTAAAACTTCATATATAAATTTGTATTTATAAAAGCAGCTTGTTAGACATTCATTCATTCATTTGTTGCAGGGATTAAAACAAGGGGCTCATACCTGTCAGTTAAGTGCTCTATACCACTGAGCTTTGGTCCCACCCTCCCTTTTAATTTTTTAATGTTTAATTCTAGTCAATAAATCATACAAATTACCCATTTTTAAAAGTGTGCAAGTAGGGCCTAAAGAGATTGCTCAGAGGTTAAAAGCACTGGCTGCTCTTCCAGAGGACCTGAGTTTGGTTCTCAGAACCAACATGGTATCCCAAACCATCTGTAACTTCGTTTCCAGGGGATCTAGTGCCCTCTTGCGCCTCCTTTGGTACCAGGCATGCACATGGTGCAGATATACATGGTGGCAAAACAACCATACACATAAAATAAAACAAATACTTCTATTTTGAAAAAGTATACAAGTAAATAGTTTCAAGTATATTCATAGATTGGCCATGATCAATGTCAAAACATTTTTATCACCTTAAAAAGAAACCCCGTGCCTCTTAGCAATCATCCTATACACCACAGCCCAAGCCCCAGGCACCCATTGGCTTGCTAGCCTTACCTGGGAGAGATCCCACCAGTAGACATTTCAAATGACTAGAATCATAAGTGTTGCTTAAAAATATGTTTTTAATTGTATGTATGAGTAGGGGTGATTTGTGAACATGAGTGTGGGTGCCTACAGAAGCCAGAGGCATTGAATTCCTGGAAGTTGGGAGTTAAAGACACACATGTATACCTGACATGGGTGCCGGGAACAAAACTTATCTTCTGGAAGAGCAGCAAGTGTTCTTAACTACCAAGCCATCACTGTAGTACCTAGAGTAATGTTTTAATTTTTTGTTTGTTTTCAGTTTTGTTTTATTTTAAATTTAAGATTTTTCATGTAGGTTTGTTCTTTGTTTTCTCTGCTATGTAGGATAGATGCCATTTTAATTAGTAGCTAGATCTTGACAATAATGATAAGACATGAGGTAACCAAATACAAGCAGTAAGGACAGCTAGGAAAACCATTTTGAGGAAACAATAAATGTGAAATGCTATTTTCAGAATTCCTTAACACTATGTGTGTCTTGTTGCATATTCTTTTTTAAAAAAATGTAATAATGCTAGTGTGATATAAACAAAGCTAATATTTTCCTAAAAGTATATATACCTTTAAACTTTAAACAAAAATAATATTGTTTGGGAGAAAATCTGCTTAATAGCTTTTTATTTAAGGTGGCACACACTTGTGTTCTCTATATTTCCATGGTTGGTTGGTGTATTTCTTTTGAGAAGTTATCTAATTGTTTGCAGCCTTATGAAGTATAGTTAAGAATAAACTGCACACTGCATGAAATGCCCACACTGACAGCTGACAGGAGCACTCCCTCTGTAACCATCACGCCGTGCACATGCCTGTCCTGGAGTTCCGTTGAGCAAGATGTGCATATGACTCCAGTTTTATCACTGGCCTCTATACCCGCATCTTATATTGTTGGGTTGTCATCATTTAGCCTGAATCACTGTTTTCTTTTCTTTGTAATCTCCTTAGTGATCATGCCCATACATGGGCAATCAAAAAGTCTCTACAGAATTACTGAGCTAGGATGGAAACATTTGTTTAAAAAAAACTAAACTGTGTGTAGTTACTTAATGTCACATATACCCCAGTTTGATACAGGAAGGGCCTCACTGTGTAACTGCTGCTGTTCTGGAACTTTGTTATTCAGGCTGGTTTTGAACACACAGTCTCCTGAGAGCAGGGTTGAAGGCATGTAATGATTCTAGTTTTGTGTGTCCCGGGGGTTTGGAGACAATTCCAAATGTATTTTTGTTGTTACACAACCCCTGTGTTTTCTGTGTGGTAGTTAGGTATGTGCCAAGAAATTTGCTTATTAAGCAATTCAGTACTTAAATTATGCCATGTGTAACCTTTTAAAGATATTTTTAAAACTTCATAAAATATATTCTAACCACATCTTGAATTTATGTTTTCCTTAGCTCATCCCTCCATTTAAATGGGAAACAAATTCACGTTGCTTTTTTGAAAGAATCTGACAAGCTGTTGTTAATTGGCCTGCCTGCTGAAGAGTGAGTTGAGAACTTTTTGTTTGTTTGTTTACCTTTACAAACCATTTCTGAAACTATGGTAACAACAAAAAAGTAAAATAATAGTAAAAAAAAAAGTCTATCTCATCAAAAGTATGCTACTTTTATCAAAAAGCCAACTCCTTGTGATGGTTTTATGATCCCAAGGTGCCACAATGGGGTAGTAGTTACCTGTGTTTGAGGGGGCTGTCAGTACAGACAACACAGAGGTAGCATTTAGTTCAACTTCAAAAGTCCCCATAATCTATAATAGTCTCAAATTTGTTTCCACATCCAAAGTCTCTTCTGAGAAACATGGCAATCTCTTAACTGTAATGCTCTGTAAAAGTAAAAATCACAAAGTAGATCACATACCTCAAGCATTTAATGTCATAAGATACATTACCATTCCAAAACATAGGGAAGGGAACACAGTGAGGAAATACTGGACCAAAGCAAGACCAAAAACCAGCTGAACAAACTCCAACCTCTTCATCGCTATGTCTGATGCCAAAATGCTCTTCAGATCTCCAACTCCTTTCAGCCTTGTTGACTGAAACATACTTCTTTCTCTTGGGCTGGTCATAAGCTTTCCTCAGTGGCTCTGAAATCTCCAACCTCATGTGTCTTCAAGGCAATTCAGGCTTCACTATCATAGCTTTACAACTCTGGGTCTCCATTCAGGGACATCCCTGAAACATGCCTGGCCTCAGCAGCTTTCTTTAATAGGGGAGGAAGATTCCATAATACCTTTCTTCTATGCTTAACTGTAAAACCAGAACCACATGGCTGAAGATGCTAAGTTCTGCTGCTTACTAGGGCTGAAACATGGCCCCTTCAATCAAATCTTCACCAACTTTCTGTTTTCATGGGTTTCCTTTACTGCCTAAGCTAGACTGTCCTGAAACTTTCTCAGTAGACCAAACTGGCTTTGCTTGCCTCTGTATCCAGAATGCTGGGATTAGATTAAAGACATGTTTCACCATTCCTAGACTTAAGATGTTCTTTAATTCCTTTTCATAGGTTACACGCTTAGCTGGGTGGAGCCTTGTCCTGAGGTCACCTCTTCCTTTATTTCATTTCTTAATCTGTTTATCTTCTTGAACACAGGGTTTAGCACTATTCCACTTCCCAGTTCCCCTTTCCTTCTCAAATTGTATATTTTGTGTTTTTCCTTTCTGTTTCTTCTTTCCGTTATAAATCTTCATAAGTGTCAACACTAGCAATCTCTCAACAGAGTCTACACTAGGTTGTTTTGAGATTTCCTCTGCCAGTGAAATTAATCTAAAACTCTTCACTTTAGCCTCAGGCAGACTTTTCTGACAAGGGCAAAAGGAGTCACATTCTTCACCAAAAATATCACAAGAACAATCTAAGCAGCATAGTAAAATCCTCCTCCTCTGAAACCTCTTGAGCCAGACCCCACAGCTCAAATCACCCTGAGTACCTCTGGCTTTCATGCTCCTACTAGTATGGCCCATTAATCAGCACTTGAAGCATCCCACTGCTTTACTAACCCAAAAACATGGGCAGGCCTTTCACAGCAATACAGCAGTCCCTGGTACCAACTTCTGCCTTATTGTTTCTATTACTGTGAAGAGACTCCATGACCATGGCAGCTTTATAAAGGAAAACATTTTATTGGAGCTGGCTGAGAGTTTCACAGATTTAATCCATTATTGTCATGGTGAGAAACATGACAGCATGTAGGCAGACAAGGTGCTTGAGAAGGAGCTGAGAGTTCTACATCTTATCCACAGGCAACAAGAAGTAAATTGCACAGTAAGCATGGCTTGAGCATATGAGCCCTCAAATCTGCCTCCGCAGTGACACACTTCCTCCAACAAGGCCACATGTACTCCAACAAGGCCACACCTCCTATAGTGCCACTCCCTAAGGGGGCCATTTTCTTTCAAACCTGAAGCTTATTCATGCTAGAGAATCTGGGGAGTCAAGACTTAGCACAGAGTGTTTTGCCCAGCTGTTCAGTATCTTTAGTGAAACAGTGACACTGCAATGCTGAAGTGTCTTTCCTGCCTTAGGGTGATCATTCACTAGTTGGGTAAGTAGTATTTAACAGCTCTGCCCACAGCTGACTAAATTGTACTAATATGTAAATGTAAGGGACATCTTGTTTCTTTGGGGCTTGTAGTAACTGCATTTCTTCTTTTAAGAGTTCCTCTTCCCCAGCTAAGGAACATGATAGAAGATGCAGCCCAAACCCTGAAGTTCATGTATGGTTCCTTAGACAGGTAAGTGTTTCACTGGGCTCTGTCTCATGTCAAGTTATGGTTCTGTGTCTTCCTCTATGCTTGGCAGTGACTCTTGAGTGACAAGCAAGTTGTTAGTTCATTCTTTTCTTCTCCCTGTGACAATTTCGTGTTTTCTTTCCTTTTTTTTTCTTTCTTAATTTTTATTAAATTAAATTATGATTTTTTTTGAGAGAGAGAACCTCCCTGTGTAGCTCAGACTAGCCTGGCCTTGCTTTGTAGCCTGGGAGGGCTAGAATTCATGATCCTGCTACCTCAGCCTCCCAGGTGCAGGGACTATAGATGTGAACCGCCATACCTTTTAGTGAAACCATGACGCTATTACTTCTTCCTTTGTAGATTCCAATATGTACAATGTGGAAATTCACAAAATACTATTTAGTACAAGATATAGTGATTACTTCTAGTTCTATATTCTAATAAATGAACCATTACAAACTTGTGCATTTCTTTAGAGGCAAATATAGCATTTACCTGTGTAGAATACAGAAGAGGTTAAGATTTTAAGTAAATGTGTTTTCTTTGCTATTTCACTAACCAAAAAAATGTTTCTTTATTCAAAAAGCTTAATTTAAAATATGTGTTTACCTAGGCATGGTAGCTCACACCTGTAGTCTCAGCATTTGAGAATCTGAGGCAGGAGGATTACTCTAAGTTCAGGGCAGACTTAGGCTACGTAAGAAGTTTCCAGGCCACTCTGAATTATAGTCCTTGTCTCAGAAAACAAAATAAACTAACAAAATACAGTTAGTAGAAATCAGATACACTGTATGGAATGTTAAGGTGCCATATGTATTCCTTCATGTATTCTCCATAAAATATGAATATGTGTGTCTGTTTTAGGCATACTTTCTGCTCCCCTTTTTTCCATTTTTTATCCTTTGTCAGGTTCAGTGAATTCTAGTCATGATCACTCTTCATTACCTCTGTTACCTCCTCCTTCTCCTGAACCCCCCCCCCACACTTTCATGTGTCATGTGACTGAGTTTATTAGGATTGCTGCATGAGCATTGCCAGGGATTATTTACAAGGACATGGGCAACTTTCCAGTGGCTACACCACTGAAGAAACCATTAAGTGTCACTAGTCCCTCATGGGCCACTCTGTCCATGATGAAATGTCAATGATTCCAGTCTTGTACAGATCTGTGCGGACAGCCATAGCTATAATGAGTACACAAGTGCAATGACCCTGTTGTACCCAGCCGGTGTCTTGCATGTCTCCCTACATACCCTCTGACTCTTCCATTCTTCACTTTGAGGATAAGCCCTGGGGTGGGGTGATAAGGATATCCCATTTAGGGCCAAGCACTCAACCATCACTTATTTTTGGCACTTTGGCTAGTTGTTGGTGCTCCTTGGTTTTTAACTTTATAATGTGATATATATTTCCTGATTTAAAGGGAAAAATTGAGGTAACTGCTCATCATTTGAATGTACAGAATTATGAACGGAAAGCATTTTTCTTCAGTGGGATTTCTGCAGGTTCTAGTACCTCTGGGGCTTAAAGTGATATCTTTGCTCTAAACACCAGAGTATACCAGAATAGAAACTGAAAGATAGTTTACACTATCTTTACACTATGTTCATTCTTTATGGTCACAAAGCTCAAGGATTCTTGGATGAACTTCTTTTATGTCCATCTGGAAAGTTCATTTTATTTGTCACATTCTCCATTGGACGAGCCACATCACTCCCAACTTGATTGTTTACCATAAACTACCAAATGAATGAGGTGCAAAAGAATGGTCACCCAGACACAGTGCCTTTGCCTTTCACCAATATGATTTTAATTAATGAGGAATGAGACTGTGATATTAATTGCCTTTTTAAAGTTATATTAAAGGGGCAAACTTTGCAGTATTGTGCCCTAGTTGAGGTGTTCCCACAAACTGAGAGATTATCAAAGATTAACTTTCTGCAATGGATTTCATACATGTCAACCAACTACATAAGTTGTTGAATGGTCCGCAGAGTAAGCTGAGAGCAGAAAGTCCTAGTTTCTCTGAATTTCACCTTCTATTGATACAAAAATATCTATGTAGTGGCAACAGATTTAATTAATTTTCCCTTGTTTAAATGGGGACGTGAAGCACAAACTAAGAAAACAAATGGAAATATGACTTCTTTAAGAAGCAATACAGATATAAGCAGTTACTAGTAGAACTTTTGTAGCAATTTTTTATTTTTTTAATAAAAAGATTTCAAAAAGGTTTTGTAAATGTCCAATGACTTAAGGATCATTTTGAAGTTGTGTGTTAGTTCATGTTAATGTTATGAGCAAATTAAAGCTACGTTTCTTTTCACCATTCCCAACTAATCCATCATTAAGTCCCAACCTGTCTGAAGTGCATCTCCATCCACTTCTCTGTGTTTACCATTTTCCTGCCAAACACCTGCTCCATGGTACTACAATGGCCCACTACATTAATTTATTTCAATAAAGCAGTTAGAATTATCAACATTATTATATGGGTCCCACCTGCCACCCTATCTGATCAGATCTTGAACTATACCCAACCCCTTGCCTTACACAATGGCAAATTTGCTCCACCCCAGACTCTGTACTCTTTCCTCCTCCTGGGTCTTCTTCATACAGGGATAGCAATACCAACTTACATGGCCTATTATTAGAGGCTTTCTTATTTACTTTAACACAGCAAACTGGATACGAAGTTGCATATATGTAGTCCTAGCTCTTTGGGAGGCTCACAAGTTTAGGCCAGCCTGAGCAATGTCATAATATCCTATGTGTAAAATAAATACCTGACCAGTCATACTACCCATCCACACTCCTGTCATCTCCTTGCCTCACTGCATCAGAATGTGTACTCCACTGTAACTATTGTCTTCTGTCTTGATTTTATTGCTGCACTCCTAGCAAAGAGAGTAGTGACTGGAACAAAGTAGGCACTTACATATTTGTAGGATGAATCATTGACTATTACTTTGTCATGATATGAGCCAGCCATTGTGTCATCTTCTGAGCTGTTCCAAGGAGTAGCATGATTAATGCAGGATTGCTTTTGCCTGTCTAAAATCAGCTATTTAATCTTCCAGTCTCCCCCTCCCCTTTTTCCCTACTTCCTTCCCTCCCTCCAATGCTTGTGCCCTTAAGTGAGGAGGAAAATAGCTTCGCTCCTTATTTTTTGGTTCCTGTGTACTCGTAGTAAGCACCACAAGAAGTGGTGATTTGCAGGTGAGTTGGATCACATTAACCCCAATTTTGACTTTTAAAAAATCAAAATTTAGAGATGCCCGCTGATTGGTCTTATGACAGCTGCCTAGTAAGATTCAAAGATGTCTCTATTACCCTCTATCCCTTGAAAGACATTAGGAATTGTAAATAGTTGGAAGATATTGAGGATGGAAATGTGTACTTCAGCCATTTTTCTTGTGCACATGCCCCCTGGGTTGGCCTAGCAGTTCTTTGCTGGTGTTCCCCTGTTAAATACAGAAAGTGTATTTCTTAACACCCTCCTCCAGTCACACTACAGTGGACAGTGGCTGTAACTAAGGGAAAAGGGAGGAAGAATGCCTCAGTGCTCTTGAGTTAGCATGCAAAAGGCGATAGACCTCTCCGCAGGTTGTGCTCACTTCCAGCTCCCTGTTGTGGAATATCAGTTTAAGATGTGTCACAGTTGTTTATGCTGTGCAGTATTTGTTTAATGATGCAAAGGTGTGTTGCAGTTTTTTTTTTTTTTTTTTTTTTTTTTTTTTAACTCTGTGAAACTGTGTTACTGTGCCCGTCTAAAACACCTGATTGGTGAGTTAGAACCGAAAAGCCAATATCTAGGCAGGAGAAAGGATAGGCAGGACTGGCCAGCAGAGAGAATAAATAGGAGGAGAAATTTGGGAGATGAAGAAGTGAGAGAGATCAAGGAGTGAGAAAGAAGTGGCCAGCTACCCAGCCACACAGCCAGCCATGGAGTAAGAGTGAAAGTAAGATAGACAGAAATAGAGAAAGTTAAAAGCCCAGAGGCAAAAGTTAGATGGGATAATTTAAGAAAAGCTGGCTAGAAATAAACCAAGCTAAGGCTAGGCATTTTTAAGTAAGAATTGAGTCTGCGTTCTGTGTGTGATTATTTGGGAGCTAGGTGGCAGGCCCCCCAAAGAGGCAAAGAGTAAAACAACTTGTTTCTTCAGTGCCTTCTGCCAGGTTGAGAACACTCCTCGTTTGGATCATTTCTTCAGCTTGTTCTTTCAACGAGCTCTTCAACCTGACAAGTTGCATCTCAGTGCCACCCCTAGTGCTCAACAATACGATGCAGCCAGTGCTGTGCTTTTGGACAGCCTCCCTGCAGTCCGTTGGCTCACACTTCCACAGGAACTCAAGGTAATCTTAGGGTTCCTAAGTAAGATACAGAATCTTGAGCTCTCAATTTCTTTTAAAAACAATTTTTAAAATGTATTACTTGGGGGCAGGCCTGCTGCCATGATTTGTACAGGTCAGAGGTTGGGTTAGTATGCTTGATTCCCTTCCTCCATCTCTATCTAGGTGCTAGGATTGAGCTTGCTGGCCTACTTCTCCTTTTTCTCTGTCTCTCTCTCTGTCTCTGTCTATGTGTGTGTGTGTGTGTGTGTGTGTGTGTTCTTCAATATTATAAGTAGCAAATGGAGAAGCTGATGAATGAAGTAGGAGATCCAGTGACATAAACTTCAACCAATGATCCTTTAAAAATAGAAATTGGTTCTCTCTTCATATTTTATATTTAAGTTTCCAAACTCAGAATTCTTTTCAGAAATCTAAGCTATATGTCTTCCTTAGCAATTTGATGACTATAAATTTATAACATAAGATCAGCTTTATGTTTCTGTCCAGATTTAAGGTGAGTTTTTTCTTGAACAGAGGAGCAACTATGGAATGTTATTTCATTTTTTAGTGCTACTAAAAGACTGTATCCAAGCAGATTCTCTGATTATCTTTATTAACAGACAGTCTTAATAAGAATACAATACATGGTCCATTGACAGCAAAATAATTCTTTTGTTTTGTTTGTTGTTGTTTTGTTTTGTTTTGTTTTGTTTTTTGATGCTGGAGGTTGAAGCCTGGGCTTCTTGCATCCTATCCATGAACATATGTGTTTTATCTTTTGGTTTGTTCCATATGTGGCTTACCAACATAGGACATGATGATGGTTAGGTGTTTCCAGTATGACCCCATGATTGTGTATCACATAACTTCACACAGTTGACAAGATCACTTCAGAAACCTTCAGTATGATCTATCATGTAATTCCTTTACTTATAGCATTTTCTCAGTATTAAATGAGGTGACACTATATACTCCTGAAGACACCCAGACTTGTAACTATTCTTTGTGAAGCCCTTCAACATGTACCTAAGTGAATTACAGTGTACTGCTGACCCCTTAAGTTGATATGTCAAGATGAGAGGGGGAAAGTGGTAGTACTCACTGTACCTGTAGGTACAGTTGTGGAAGTTCTATTACAGGGTCCTTAGTTGAAGGAATTGTACCTTCTGATCTTTTTTATTACTTCTGTGAATTGCCAGTCTCAGACTACAGTGACTATTTTCTTTTTGTTCCTGGTCCTGGAACTTGAGCCTGGGAGCCTATGCGTGCTTGTCCAGTGTCCTGCCACTGAACTATATCCCCAACCTCATTTTCCTAAGTCACTTTCATGAGAAAACTGAACTTTTTGACAGAGAAAGTAACTAGATAACATTGCCTTTAAGAAAGACCCTGGCTCAAAAGCCTGTCTCACATCCACTGGGGGTCTTTTTACCATGGAGAGGCTTAAGTCCCCTAGGCCCTTTGTCATCAGAGGGTACCAGTGAGAGCTGGCTTCCTGGCTAAGAGTCACCTGGGTTCCTGTCCCTGTTTCGTAATTGCTTTATTGAAGAAACTTGATCTTGACAATATATAGTCCATCCTTCTACCATTGGTTGCTCTACCCCGATGGTAGTGGTCATAATGATTTTAGGAGTAATGTGTTCATCTTACATTGACTTTCTGGGTTAGATGGTGGACTGGAGCTGGCTTTTTGTAACCTTGTAATAGAACGGACTCCCCTCTGAAAACAGAAAGAGAAGAGCTTCAGGAAGGCACAAAGGAAGCGGTAGAAATACCTGAAGAGACCAACAAGTTTGACAAAACACTAGTCAAGCTCACTGAAGAGAGAGAAGATTCAAATTAACCAATTATTATAAAAAGTGGAGTGTTGCAAATTCTTATAAATCCAGAGGATTGTAAGGCAAGTTTTCTGGCCCAGCAGACCCTGCCACCAATACAGCCCTAAATGAACACACAGATGCTATATTAATTATGAAACTGTTGGCCAGTGACTAGTGTTTCTTATTGGCTAGCTCTGTCTTAACTATTAACTCATTTTTATCAATCTAAGTATTTCCACTTGGTCTTGGCTTACCGGGAATGCTGGACCTGAACTCCTTTGCCTGCTACATCTCTGCAGAGAAGAAAGAGAAGAGAGCAATTTCCTGTTTGTCCCTGCTTAATATACTGATTCTTCCCAGCACATCACTTCTGGCATGTTTGTACAGACCTCCAGACCTCTATGGTTAGCTGGAAGCAGTTTCTGTCCAGCTACATCAATTCCTGGGATCACATGATGACACCTCTCTGCCTAAACTTCCCAGAATCCTCCTTGTCTGCTAGTCCTATCTATCATCCTGCCTGTCCAATCAGTGTTTTATTCATCAACCAATAAGACAAACATATACATAGAAGAATATTCCCCATCAGAAAATTGTTAGGAAATATTTTGGAAACCCATATTTATCCAAAAATCAACTGGAGAATCCATAAGAAATTGCTAACTTCCTAGACATGTATGACTCACCGAAATGACTTCGTCAAAGCAATGTGAACCTGAGCATAGGAGCTGTCTTTTAAGGCTTTCTTCAATTAATTTCTTTTGTGTCTCATTGTTTTCCTTGTAGAAGGCCCCCCTCCTTTGCTATTTTATCTTTTTTTCTTGGTACAATGGCTATTGCTAAACAGTCTTTGATCCATACATGTTAGTTCTCCATCCTATAGTTTACTGGAAATGGATCATTCTTTTTAAGCACTTTGAGGCAGAACCATTGGGGTCTTTTTAATACAGAATCATGTCACTTGCAAATAGGGGTACTCAGCTGCTTTCTTTCCTGTGTGTGTACCTTTTATTTCTTTCTCTGGTTTTACTTCTCTAGATAAGACTTTGAGTACTGTGGTGAATAAGAATAGTAAGAATGAGAATGGGCACTCTTCCCTCATTCCTAATTGCAAAAGAAATGCTATTTTCCCCACTTTGAATATAATATTTGTGGTAAGTTTGCTGTATTTTTTATTTATTTAATGTTGCTGAGGTATGTCCCTTCTATTCCTAATTGCTTCAGTGTTTTTATCATGAAGGGATGTTGAACTTGACTTTTGCTATAGCTAATGAGATGATCATGTGATTTCTGTCTTTGAGTCTATTTATGTAATGGGTCTCATTGGTTTGGATGTTAAACCAACCTTCAATTCCTGGAAGGAAACCAGTTTGGTCATGATGTGTGAGCTTAGTGAGTTACTTTTACACATGAGTGCTTTAGTGTGCCTGTGGAAGTCAGGAGACAACTTATGGGTGTCAGTTCTTTTCCTCCTCCATTGGGGTTCCAGGGATTGACCTCAGGCCCTCAGGCTCGGCAGCAAGTACCTTTACCAGCTAAGACATATTGCCAGACCTTCTTAGTACTTTGTTGAGAATTTTTACGTCTGTGTTAGTCATAGAAGTTGGTCTTGACTTTCCCTTTCTGTTGTGATAGAGCTAGCACTTGCCTAGTATGTGTGAGGGCCTTGGTTTGTCTCTAGCACTGAAAAAAGAAATAAGTGAAATATTTATCTAATTATTCTGTATCAATAAAAAGTCGGGAGCGAGATATCAGTGTAAGAACCTGAATGATCAGAGAAGTGACAGAGAAGCCACCAATGACCTCAGTCGAAAAGGGTTGATGTCCTCTCTCAGCCCTGCCTTACTACTTCCTGTCTCCTATCTGTCCTCAGTCCTCCAAGATCTTTATGGTTAATTTTGATCAGCTAGTGGCTAGCTCCTCCCTCTGACTCAAAGGAAGCTTTTTTATTGTCAGAATGTAATCAAAATATCACACAATCGATAGTTTTGAATTTCTCTTGAGGATTCTTCTTTTGACCTGTATCTAACAATAATCATAAAATGAAATTAAAGGAACTGATAGTCATACTTGGTATGGCTTTTTTTTTGTTGCCATTGTTCTGTGTTCATCCCCTTGTGTTCTGTTTGCTTTCTGTCCTTTGTAACTATAACTTTCATGCAGTTTTTTGCTTTTTTGTTTTTGCTGCTTATAATAATTATTTTACAGTTCACAGTACACCTTTACATCTAACCCAAATCCACACAAAGAGTACTGTGTAATGCAGAGGTCCTGACCTTGTCCACACCCAGTCACAGTTCTGCCTTCAATGACCTTCATTACTGTCACAGTGCTTTTGACAGTGTGCTTCCTGTTGGTTCTTTAGTAGGGACTCCATCTTAGCTTGCCTTGTCTTATTTTCTTGCATAGTATCTCACTCATTTTATTTTAGATTTCCTGACTGTTAATTATAATAGCTCAGGCTTGTCCAATCTTAGCCATATGTTATCTGATGCCTACCCTAAATTTGTGAGATTGCTGTTTGGTGTCTTGTGATTTTTTTTCTTGATGGTTGGACATGTTGTAAATCTGAAAGGACCACTAGACGTAGGCCCTGCTGATGAAGTGGTGGAGTGTTTGGAGGGGAAGTGTCCTTCGCCCATGGTTAGGGCTTAGCCTTTCAGTGAGCCTGGAGGTTGGTGGATTATGGGCCTTAGCATTGTTTGTCAGGTTTCCTCTCCCCTCTTTTCTGAGACAGGCTGGCTAGCTAGTGTGAACTGGAGTTGGGCATCTCCCACCTCCCACCTAAGAGGTTGTATGGACCTCTTCTGCAGTGAGGAAGGCTATTGCTGACTGTGTTTACCCCAGGTCTGCTACATCCCATGGGACTGTGCTGTAGTTAACTAGTTTCTCCATGGGGCAGGCTTTGTTAAGGATAGCCAGCCCAGTGCTCTAGAGTGGGACCAGAGGTAGGAGGGCATTTACTTTGGCTACTTGGTTATGTGGGAAAACTCACAAAAGCTTGGGCGACCCAACAGCCTGGATTTCCATGGAGTTTTCAACTGTGGAAATTACCCACATGGAGCCTCTGGCAACTTGCCAACTACAGGGCAGGTTTTCTTGTGTTGGCCCTGGCTGTGTTGGGGGTTTGTGCTCCTGTGTCTGTTATGCAGCTGTGAGTGTCTGTCTGTCTGTCTGTCTCTTGGTTCTTGAAGCTAGCAGTTTGCTGTGTTCTTGCTCTTCTTCAAGACACAGAAGAGTTGACTTTTCTGTTCAGCATTTGACTTGTTTGGACTGAATACCTACTTACACTTCTACATGTGTAACCAGAAACCAGAGCCCCTGAGTTTTTGTTTTCCCAAAAAGCTCAAAGAAAGTTTTCTTCCTTTCTTTGAGATTTGCCACTGTCTTAGAGTAGTAGCTTTTATTGACAATATATCTTAAGGAATTTAATCCCATAAAAACTCAGGTTTAAAAAGTAGTTGTAAGGCAACTTACAATTAGCAGATGTTCAGTGGAAGTACTTGGTTTTAATTTGAAAATAACTTACTTTGTTCCATGTTTAGTATATGATGAAGTCTCCCCTTTCCTAGGTGTTTGAGAATTTTTTCAGTCATGCTTTCCTGGGCCACAGTGGCATTGTTAGAGGGGCAACATTTTACCTTTTTCCTACAGGAGCAGCTGGTTATATTTGTCTAACATCAGCCTGGAGACCAAGTAGAGCAACACTGAGGGAACAGCCTGAGATCAAAAATTACATGTATTTGTTCCCTTTGTCTGACAGTTTTTCACAAAATGAAGGGTTCTCACCAAATAAGAAAACACAAAGTATTTGCTAGGTGCAGAAAAGTGCAGGTCACAAATGAGAACTAAGTCACACTGTGTGAAAAGTATTGAAAGGCATGACTAATGTCTCAGGAGCTTTTGTTGTCTCAGGAAAACACAGCATGAGACATAGCCTTGCAGAGAATGCCTTAGCCTCTAAGGGGGAAAAAAAAGGGAGAAGAAACAGCAAGGAGATCCTTATTTATATATAGTGTATATGCTACATATTTAAGTAACTATTTTTTGTACGTATATACATTTATGCATTACAGGATAATTTTACTTTGTTAAATTGTGGATGTTTCAAGGAGAAGTTTCAGCAATTTCCATGGAAACAAAGCCAAATCCTATGTAAAAGATTTTTGTCTATTAACTCTGTGGGGAAGTTAAGCTGTGCCAGATCCCAGGGAGACTCCTGGCTTAATGTTTTAATCTGAATAATGATTGGCAATGCTTTATTCAAAACATTGTTTCCAGGAGAGAAACAAGGAAGAATGTTGGTATTTTTCAAGAATCCAACTGATCAAAAATACACAGAAAGCGAGAAAAACAACCTGAAATAGGTTGACCACATTAATAGTGATTTCCATTTTGCTTAGTCTAATAAGTTTTAAAAAATTAACTTAAAACAAGAAAGCAGTTTTTTAATCTCATAAATTGTTTTGTGTTGATCAGAAGTCTTTTTTGTCATTTTATAGCAACTTTTAATTTAAAAAGTCCATATGTTAAATCAGTTTTATATTTGCAAAGCTTAAGAATAGCACGTTCATTTGGGGATATTTCTTGAGTAGTGTGACAAGAGAAAGATATGTGTTTAGTCCCTCAGGCAGTTCTGAGTGCTCCTCATGTGTCCACACAGGTGGAGTTGGACACAGTGCTGAGTGACCTTGAGGCTGCCGACTTTGAAGAACTGGTAAGAGGAGGATGATTTCTACCAGGTGCCATGTTGAGCTCTCAGTTTTTAATCAATCATCCTAAGTATCTGGCAAGTGGGTTTAGAGCACTCGGCCTCTGTTTTGACACTGGCAAATGCCTACTTGTCCCAAGGCTTTCTATTCAGCTGAAAACACTGGCTGCACAATGTGTGTTATGAGGCTTAGACAGTGATTAACTAACAAGCACTAGGGCTTTGTGAGGACAGAGGTGGAGACTTGATGAGTTGAGAACTCTGTGAGTCTGAACTGAACTTGAAACTCTCAGTGTGACTTTCAACTTTTTAAAATTTCTATTTTCTTGGTCTCTCCAATGAAAAGCCCAACAGATAAATTGTTAGTAAACAATAAATTCCATTAACACTCAAGCCACTGTGTATAAGAAACTCCTCACCACAAGGAGCTAGGTTCCTCAGAGACATGGAACGCTCCAGAACTGACACAAGTTATATGTACTGGGCCTGAAACTGTCAGACAATGACTCAGCATCCAGGGTGTGGAAGTTTGTAATTCCACAATGCTTAGGAAGAAGGGAAACCAAGTTGTTTTTGTGAAAACTGGTGCTAAGTGGGGAAGAACCAGACATTTATGCTTCTCCTCTTGTCTGAACCACACGTCAAGGTGAGCACACAGAGGCAGTACATTGTCGGTAATTGCCTTGGAGTCTTTATCTTTTGCTGTGATGAAATACTCTGTTGACGTTCATCCTCCATTTATGAAGTTCAGGAATCCTGTGTAGGGAGTAGTCCTGCCCACTGTTAAGATGGGTCTCCCTGTATCGATTAAGATACCCAACATAATCCCCCAGCATGCCTAGAGGTATAAATCCCATGTGATCCTGCATTCATGGAACACTATTTGCAGTGTGGGAACACACAAGCCACCCATGAAATACTTCAATGAGGCATTACATCATCTACCACCATTAAGTAAAGAGCATGTCAAGTGACTCAATTTTAGAAGGGAAGTTATAATCAGTTAAATCCAGACTGGGAATAGGGGTTATTAAATCACAGAGATGGAGAGAGGAAGAGACAAAAGCAGAAAGACCTTGACAGAAGGCTTTGAGGAGTCAACCAAGTACACTGTATAGTCTTCCTTGGCATCTATTCAAACAAGTTTTATCACAATATCAATGAGGCCAGGCCTGGTGGCACACACCTTTAATCCCAGCTCCAAGGAGGCAGAGACAGGTGGATCTCAAGCTAAGGCCAACCTGGGTTACATAATGAGGCCCCGTCCTAAGTAAATAAATATATAAGTAAACATTTGTGAGACAATTAAGGAAATATAATAATTATAGCCATGTGTTAGAAGAGAATAAATCTTTCAACATTGGCATTATGACTACATGTTTTCACAAGATTAATTCTTTTCAAGTACATCCTTTTAAAAAATTATTTTAAGTGTATGTTTGTACCTGGATGTAAGTATGTGTAATGTAAATGCTTAATTCCACAAAGACCAGAAGAGGGGACAGGATCTCCTGGAACTAGAGTTTCAGGTGGTTATGCTCCACCATTGGGTCCTCCTCAAGAGCAATAAGCTTGCTTAACCTCTGAGCCATCTCTCCAGCCCGTTAGAGTACATTCTGAAGTTACTTACAGAAGAAGTGTATCTGGGGTTAGTTCAAAATAATATGGTGAGAAGGAGGGAAAGATATGATGAAACAAGACAAACCGCACTCTCACCTAGTCAAATCTGTGTAGTAGCAGACATGAAGGAGCCGATGCTACTATTTTCTGACTCCCACCTTCTGCCTCAGCCTCCTAAGCTCCGGCCATATAGGCATGTGCCACCATGCCCAGTATTGTTCAGTCCTCTTATTTCTGAGTAGCAGTACACTGTATGGATGGAACACAGTTTCAAAGATGCTTATGTTATTTCTGATTTTTCATTTCTTCTATGTTAGGATAAAATTAACAGATACATGTTAGAGGAAGAGACAAATGTTCCTCCTTATGCTTTCCCACTGGCATCCCAGGAGTAACTGCTCTCAGAGCTTGGAGTGGATCTTTCTAGACTTTTCTGTATCCTTACATTCCTACACAAAACCCCACATGTGTGGATATTCATAACACTTATGGTTGTCGGAGAGTGCACACCATTCAGCAAGACTCAGATGTAATGGTGTTTCCTTCTGGAACTTGCATTTTCTGCTGAGCAGAGCATCCAGTAACTTTTATGCCTGCACTATTCTAATACCTGTACTGTTCTCTTACACAACATCACATTTAGCTGATCATTCCCCCATTCCTGAATGTAGCATTATCTGTAACTTGCATTCCAAATAATTCACTATCAGTTTTTACAAAAATGTCTCAATTCACTCAGTTATCGTATAGATCCCTAGAAGGAGGGATTACTCAAATAGAGTGTGTTCTGATTTTTTAAATATCATTCACTTACCTACAAATAAATTGTTACAATTTGCCCTTTCAAAAGTAGTGTGTGATAATATTGGATATTGTTGATTATAATGGGAGCTTTCTTTTTTTTTTAATAGTTATTTTCAGAGTCCCTCATGGAAGGGCGAATGCTGTATTCTATTATGTTTAAGACCACAAGGCTATTAGACAAGTAAACATATTGGTCTTTCATCCCCGTCCTCTAGCATTTTGATGTCAAAGGTACCATACCAAGTTGTTTCTAGGGTGGTGGTGGTACACACCTTTAGTCCTAGCACTCAGGAGGCAAAATCAGGTAGACCTCTGTGAGTTTGAGGCCAGCCTGATCCACAAAGTGAGTTTCAGGACAGCCAGGACTGTTACAGACAAACCCTGTCTCAAAACACACACACACACACACACACACACAAAAAAAAAAAAAAAAAAAAAAAAAAAAAAAAAACCAAGAGAGAGAGTTACTTCTAACAAATATAATCTCTACTTGAACTGTTGCTGCTTAGCTAGAATACTTTTATCTTTTATATAAAAATAAATAAATACCACATTATAAATCACCTATGAATTTTTTCCCTAGTCTGAGGATTACTATGACATGAGACGGCTGTACACAATTTTGGGGTCTTCTCTGTTTTACAAGGTAAGTTGAAGCTTAAAATATTTATCAATATCCAACTGCTATATACATAGACCTAAAGTAAATTTTCAAACTTTTACATACATGGAAGAAATGTTACCACTTTACTTCTGTGTATAGTCATAAGCCGATGGACTGGAAATATGACCTCAGAGATTTATAAATACAGTAAATAATTATGTTTTACTGTATACTAAGTCATTACTAAATCTGCAGAAGTGAGAGTACTTAAAATAATAAAGTATATAAAAGAAAAGAGCAATATGTTCTCTTTTTTTTCACAATTAAAAAAAATTGCATGTATTTGGTGTGTGTGTGTGTGTGTGTGTGTGTGTGTGTGTGTGTGTGTGTGAGCCACAGAGCATATGTGAAGGTCAAAGGACAACTCGAAGGAGTTATTCTCTCCTATCATGTGTGGTTCCCAGGATCAAACTCAGGTCATCAGGCTTGGTGGCCAGTGCCTTTAGCCACTGAGCTCTCCAGCAGTGTATTCTTAATTTCCCTTTGCAGTAGTGTTCTTGCTCTTTTGACCCTCTTCCTCAGAAGTGACACATATTGCATCTGTGGCATCAAGTAACTACTCCCATGTAAAGCATTAGGAATAGAGTCAGTTTAAGTTTTTCACTTAAAAATATCTTTAAAAACAATGAATAACATACCTCCCATAGAATCAGCTGCTACAGGAAGGACACAGAAAAGAATCAATCTGTGTTAACCTTGACCTTGTGTCCTTTTCTAGTCCGAGCTTTACCAAGCATTCAAGGTAATCCCACTTGACGTGATCTGGCTTTGTGTAAAAGCTTGTCTTCTGAGTCCCTGAAGTTGTCAGACTTGATCTGCAGTTAGACTCAGAAAAAGTATGGATTTTGCCAGATCTTAGTTTACCCCCTTTAGAACTACACTATTTTAAGCCTACTATTTTGGTGCTGATAAAACTCGTAGAAATGTGGGATCATTAATTCATGTTACTCACTGGCGTTGGCTCCTCATGATTAAATCCCAGGGTTACTTGGTATGCAGCCATCTACCTAAGGATGATATTGTTGAGATTGCTGCATACTGTCGCCAGTACTGCCTGCTGCCTTTAGCAGCAAAGCAAAGAATTGGCCAGCTGATAATATGGAGAGAAGTCTTCCCACGGCACCACTGCCAGCCTCCTGCAGACTCAGACACCGAGGTCTTCCAGGAACCTGAAGGGAGATATTTTTTACTAATTGTCGGGCTGGTGAGTTATGAAATTCTTTCTTGAATGTCATTTTACACTTTTTAAATCTACTTGCTTAAATATACCAATATGCTCATTTACAAATATGAATATGTAAGTACTTGTGTTCAAGAAAATGTTGAGAGCCCCTCTATTTCCTTTCTTCTGTATCTATTTAATTCTCATGAAGAAATACTAGTAAAATCCAGTGTATAATTTGAACAGGGTCTGAAGATGTTTTGTTCCCCTTCCTATAGTATTTTTTCCTTGGGCTTCTTTTGGAAAACATGAAACAATATAAATTCAAGCCCTGCATGGTGATGATCCCTAAAATCCCAGCACTTGGAAGGTTGTGAGGCAAGAGGATCCCAAGTTTGAATTCCAGGGCAGCCTGAGCTACACAGAGATCATGTCTGAAATGATGTGATAATTGAGGCTATTTGAAAGTTATCTTGGGAAATTTTGTGAACTAAGGGAATTGGTTGATGGTGAATTGATGCTTTATCAAAACAAAGCAATGTGAGATTATTTCCATTCTGGGTCAAGAAGCTTTGATGATGACTAAAAGAGAAATTGGAGAGAAAGATTTTCAGTACTCACTGAGTATTTGCAAATGCCCATATGCCTTTAGTACAAGCTTAAACATACAGACTATATTAAGTACTTTCATGGCAGCTAAACCTGTACCAATCTTTATTTGCAGAGACATTATATGTTGTGTGTGTTGTTAGAAGCCGGAGGCTGTACATCTAAAGCTACTGGGAATCCTGGTCCAGATTGTATCTATGTAGATCAGGTCAGAACAACTCTTCATCAGCTGGAAGGAGTAGATTCCCGCATAGAGGAACGGCTAGCCTCATGTCCCAGGCCCTGCCTGTCTTGTGCTGACTGGTTCCTTGCTGCACCACATGAAAAGGCAGATAGTTTGACCACTTCACCTATCCTCAGTAGACTTCAGGGGTCCACCAAAACAGCGACCTCTCCAACATGCAGAAGAACCTTTTTCAGTGACTATCCCTTCAAGGCACGGAAGCCCAGTCCCTCCCGGGGTAGTGGAGGATGTGAGCCTGGTGAAGGTGGAGAAGGTGTTGGTCCTAGCCCACACACTACCCCAGCTGCAGTACTGAAGCAAAGAGAATCTGATGGTTCAGAGGACAGCATGGCCTTGCTTAAGGTATGCGTTCATCCAAGTGTCTGCATTGTGATCCATAACTGTTAGGATTTTTTAATTGAGAGAGTGTTTCTTATTTGAAATGATGAGTGTTTTAGTATTGCTAGAAAACCGAAGACTAAGAACCAAAAAGAGAAACAAATACCAAGTGCTAACACATGAGCCTCGGCATCTAGAATGTTCATGCCACAGAGCTTCCAGGTAGAGAAGCTTCAAGCCCTGGTCCATATACATTGGTCTTTCTTCTGTGTTGATAGGGTGACAGATCACCTAGCTGTAGGGCAATTTCAGTGTCAATCTAAGTAGTCAGTAAAATATTTAACAGAAACAAATGATGAGAATGAAGAGGAGATGCCTATTTGTAATAGCTAAGGTTTTTAATCTGTACTTATGAATGTCACATTGTGACTGTGAAGCACAGAGGATGTTTATACTTCAGTGTATGACTCTTACTGGCTTTTCCCATACATACTATAAAATACCCAAACAGTTGTTAGAGTCATCAGCACCCATGGGAGTTTTGCACTTACTCCTGTGATGCTGAGGTTGCCCCCGACAGTTTTGAAACTTGCTGTCATGTGGGTGGAGGTCATGCCAGACATAGCTGAAGGAATCTTGAATCTGAAAGTGGACTCCATGTTTCTGAGTGGTGTGGCATTCACAAGCAGAGATATTCTCTCTCCTATACACAAACAATGGGATGTGTTGGAGCCATGAGTAGAATTTGTTAGGAAGTGCTTGCATGCTAACTATAACCTGCTATCTCTGTTGGTAAACTTAGTAGGTAACAGAAACCAAGCTGATTTGGCTAAATTACATCTAGCTAAGCTCTAATCAGCCGCCAGGAGTACAACACATTATCTGTGACCTTGAGATGTCCAGACAGCAGGAAGAAAGACAAATATACATGCATATTCATTTGGTAGTAGAATGGGTGGGGAGTTTTCACCATGGCCCCCTGACTTGACACTGGAATCATCCATAACAAAGAATAAGCCCAGAGATGCAGATGGCATCAAAAGTATTAATGGAGGCATGCATCATAAGAATGGCACTCTTGGAAGGTTTTTAATTTGTGAATCATTTCTGCTATTTAATCCTATCCTTAGATACAAACTGACCTATTTATCTTCTAGCTCACTAGAAAGAAATCAACGCTTCCAAATCCATTTCATTTGGGAAATTCGAAAAAAGAACTTTCAGACAAAGAATTGGAAGTCTATAACACGATGAAGTAAGAAACTTGTAGCATGCCTTTTCACTTAAACTCATTGTGGTTGAGGGGCTTTACAGTGAGAAAGTGCAGAGAGATTCAACAAGCATAATTATGATGTGGATCGAAGATCTGAGCTAATATCCATGCTATTTCTGTAATGTCTTTACACATTTGGGGGAATCAATATATTTGTATTCTAATGAAAGCACCAATAGTAGTATTTCAAAACATGAAAGTTGTTCTTTACCTTTCTCCCACAGATAATGTACTTTTTGGATGTCTACTTTTTAAATTGGAGTTTAGAGACTAGTTTTAGACTCTAGTAGATGCCTGGTTATGCTTAGCCCAGTGTCTGTAAGTGATAGCTGCTACTGGCGTACAGTTCAGAATGCTCATCTAGAGAACAAAGGGTTGGATATTTGCCTAAATTCAAGACAACTGTGAAAGGCCATCCACGCCTCCTGGTGCCAGGTGGTGGCAGTGCCTCTGTAGCAACTGTGTCACCGGTCCGCTTCTGTCTGCTATACCCTGCTCCCATCTCTGCTCCCTCTGCTGTAGTCACATAGAACACTCACTAACTTCTCCCTGTGCCTCTTCCTCTCAGACTCTGGATCCTAAAATCTGGTCCTGAACAAATAGATAAAACTCAGACTTACATTGGTGTGTGTATGTGTGTGTGTGTGTGTGTGTGTGTGTGTGTGTGTGTGTGTGTGTGCGCACGTGTGTACAGATGAGCTTGTGTATGCTATTGTGTGGAAGCTAGAGGATAACCTTGATTGTCTGTCATTCCTTAGGAGCTACCTAGCTTGTCTTTTGAAATGCAGTCTCTCACTGGCCTGGAGTGAAGCATGCTGAGCTGGCTTGCTACTGAGCCCCAGGGCTCCTCTGTCTCAGCCTTCCCATAGCTGTAATTGTAAATGTGTGCCATCAGGCCCAGGTCTTTGCATGGGTTCTGGGGTTCAAACTCTGGTCTTCATGCTTGCACAGCAAGCAGTTCACTGGCTGAGCAGCTATCCTTTCATAAGCACTTCTTTTACATTTGTTTTGTAGCTAGCTACCTGATCTGCCTGACTCTTTTTGCCTGTATTTAATGTTGATGTCATGTGTGGGACCAGCTGATAAAACAAAATTAATTGCACTTAGCAAGAGGACATGTAGAAGCAGAATACACATACATGGGTACTTAACCACCACCATCTTCATGAAGGAAATATTTTCTAAGTGCAAGTGTGTAAATAGCAGTTGCCAGGAAATACTTTTTTTTCTGAAGTTAGGCCAAAAGAAAGATAACTTATCTGATTAAAATAGTGCTCTGGAAATCTAAAGTGTTAACATTTAATACCTCCGCACATGAGTGTTTAATTTTTAATAGTTAAAAAATTTTAAACAAATAAATTTGAGTACAGTCTTCTACAGTAAGCTGAAACCCCTTTGAAAGCCCTAGTCTTCCATTTAGCAATGAACTTCAAAGTTTAAGGTCATTTCATTACTGCCGTACTTTTTAAATACATACATTGTTTTGACATTTTATCTAATAAAAGCAAACTCTCAAGTTCAATAGCTTATGTAAGTTCACACATATAAATCACAAGGTTTCTTGTTTTAAAAATGCCAAAGATGGATAACTTATTAATTACTGATGTGCAAAGTTCATTTTTAAATCATGTTATTGAGTAAATGATATTACTCTAACTTGTATATATACACCATTGTAAATATATGATTTTCAATCTTTTACACCCAACATTTTATTCAATGTCAAAGTCACATCTACTCTGTATTTCTACAATCCCAGCCTACCCCACCTCCTGTTTTCCTTCCTGACTATATTGCTTTGGCCTCCCAGCTCCTGAAACTCAGCAGTGGAGAGGAAAAGCTGGGTTACATAGAAAGCAGACTGCAAAGTCACCAAGCCCTACTTGACTGCGCAGCTGGGTCAAGTTCATCCCAGTGCCAGACGCTGCTACCCCATGTTTAAGAGGAGCAGAATAACATTTACTGTCATGCATGATCATTATGAAAACTGGAATTAACATACTTTCAAGCACACACTGTGGCATATAGAAGACATTCATGGAAATTTACTATTTCTTGCTTTTTTGTTATTCCTTTGGGGAAACTTAAACATAAACATCTCAACTAGGTTCTGTTGACCTGTCAGAGATTAAATATGAGAGGAAGAGATGAGAAAGAAAAGAAAAACTGAAAACAGTAAGTGAATATTGTCGGAACATGGTTCAAGAATAGAGTCACATGAGAATTCTGAACGCGTGTGAGAAAACTCCATGAAACCAAGACATGAGTCTTGTAACCTCAGTTTCTTCAAAAACATGGAATTGTTCTTGAACTGTACTTTCATTCCTCTCCCAGGTGTAGCAGCTAGGAATTAGTTTACTTCAGATTGTTTATTACAGCTAGCGATTGTAATTTGTTTATATTCATATATGGAAAAACATGTTTTTGCCATGTGTGGCTTGCTCGATACTTGAGGCTTGTCTTCCATGTTTGGCTTACCCTTGTGATTGTACACTTTACTCCTGTGACTCCTCTTAACCCTCAGAGTATAAATTGTCTGATGCTCTGAAGAAAGTTGGCTCTTGTACGAGACTTTAGTAAACCTTGTTTTTAGGTTCCAGTCTCCCAGGTCCCACCACATCTAGAGCGATAAACAGAATATAAGTGAGAAGCTTGTAGCAGTGTGGAATACTATCAACGGTTGGCACAGTGATAAGGATGTTAATCTAACTTCGTGATTGCTAACCATTTTATATTGTTTCAGGATCACCAGTGTTGTTGCCAAGTGAAGTGTAGTGTTGCTGAGTTCATATGTTTAGTTTTATAGGAGATAATATTGTATGTGCCCTACTCTACTAATACCATTTTTATGGCTTATTGGAATTTAGGCCAAACATGAGCTCAGTTTTTCTTACAAACCATGGAAAAAGAAGGCACAGCCAATTGGTTGTTTAGTGAAGAGACAACTTAAGTTACTTGCAAATGAATTAGTGTTTATCCTTCCATGGCTGGTACTGTTTGTCTCCATTATGGAATTAAGAATAGCTTAAAGCATGTGCTTTAGTCAATGTCAGGGAATTAAATGTTTGGTTCAGTTTTCTGTCCATAATTATACTGCTAATATTATTTCACATAGTCTTGTGAGAATGCTACAAAATTCAAAATGAAAATTTCTTCTAACTTCAATTTCCTTCTCTCTCTCTTTTCCAAGATTGACCTCTGGTCCTGAGAATACACTCTTCCACTATGTTGCCTTAGAAACAGTGCAGGGCATCTTCATCACTCCTACCCATGAAGAGGTGGCTCAGCTAGGCGGTTCTGTCCATGCTCAGCTAATTAAGAATTTCCATCAGTGTTGTCTCTCTATCCGTGCAATTTTCCAACAGACATTGAAGGAAGAGGTAAATATTTAAATACAGTTTTCTACCAATATCAACTCTCTATTTTCTTTAACATAACCAGAAGTGTTCTATTTAACTCAGTTATACTGAGCTCTGTGGTCTGGAATCTTACCTCTGGAAATGGTAGGCCTGGTTTTCCCACAGCAAAGTACAAAATGATATTTTATAATAGTTTATAATATCAGGTAGCCATTCATATCTGATATTAGCAATTTAACCGTTTGTTAATTGGTAGTAGTGTTTCAATCCAGGTTAATGTCATTTAATATTGCACCCTATTCTTAAGTAGTAGTATTATATATAATTCAAATATCAATTAGATTCTTGTGGTGACAGGAAAATTGATATTGATCTCTCATTATGGAAAAATATTCAGAGCCTTATGGCTAGGACTGCAGCTTAATTGGCACAGTGCTTATCTAACATTCAAGAAGCCCTTGATTCACATCTGTAATCCCAAAACCCCAGAAGTAGAGGCAGGAGGAGGAGAAATTCAAAAGTCATCTCCAGTCTCATAGTGAGTCTGAGGCTAACCTGGGATACATAAGACCCTGTCTCAAAAATAAGGACTGGAAATGTGGCTCAGCAGTTAAGAACACTTACTGCTCTTGTTAAGGTCCTGAGATGTGGTTCCCTTAGACAGCTCACTACCATCTGTCACTCCAACTCCAAGGGATCTGATGCCCTCTGGACTCCATCAGCCCCTGCACACATGTGATGCACGTAAATTCACATGGGCACACATATACTGAAGAATAATAAATAAATCTTTTAAAAACAAAGAAGGGAGAGAGTGGGGTTGTAACTGATCTAACATCTGTCCAGGAGCAGCTCTCTGAAGACATCGGTGATGTATGCAGCATATCAGTCTTGTGAAGAACTTGGGTTTAAAATGACATTGGGCTGGGAATGAGGAGCCCTGGCCTGAATCCTGGCTCTTCCTGTTTCCTCAGCTATAAAGCAATCCAGCTGGAGTAATATCACTTCTCAGGGCCCATTCAACAGAATTCTGCCTTCCATACGTTCGGGTTCTCAGAAAGTGTTATTAACAGGAAGTGTCGTGTTTGAGCAAGGAGGTCTCCCTGCTTTCACTTCTTGGGCTAGCTCTTCCTATATTAATGTACTGCTGGATGCTCTGGATATGTCATCACCCTATTTGGTCATATTTAGTAACAAATTGACCTTAAATGTTAAGGCATCTACTCTGCACTGGACACTATTCTAGGTGCTGGAAAGAAAACAAACTAAATTCTTTTCCTGAAGCCCCTCTCCTAATGAAGGAGCTAAATAAACTGACAAATAGTAAATCTAGTGGAGTGAATGTCAAGAGGAATTTAATCTTAGTCAGGCTCAGTGGTGCAGGTTACTGTTTTACAAGTTCCCCCGATCATGTCAAGCAATCTTTACAGAAAGGAATAAAGAGGGAAAAGGTTGTGTAGCTATTTGGAGAACACAGTTTCTAACAGAGGGACAGCTGGCCTCTGTGGGTACTCACTTGCATGGACACATATCTAGACACACACAAATCTTAAAAGAATAAAATAGATCAAATGTAATGACATGTGTCTGTAATCAAACTCCCAAACAAGAGACAGTAAGAGTGCCAGAAGTTGGAGACCAACTCAAGGTCAGCCAGGTCTATTTAGTGAGAACCTGATTGGGGGAGGGGGTGTGTAGAGAATAACATTTGCTCTCTGCTGGGAGAAAGCTTGTAATCTACTTTAGGAGATAATGTCTAAACCAAGAATTGACAAATAGAAATTTTTTACAGGCCAACAGGAAGAATAGCATTGTAGACACTTAGAACCAGAGTCATCCTCATCTTCAGATACTTACCTGAAATTACTTTATTTTCTACTTTGGTGATGGAAGTGAGGGTTCTATTCATGCTAAGCAAGCATTCTACCCCTGAGCTACATTCCCAGCCCCAGACATTTCAGACTAACACTATCTACTAGTTAATACTCGCAACTGCTGTTGGTTTGCAGAAAAAGAGAGCACTGCATGGTGAAGATCATTCAGAGTCTGCAGATTCAGTGTCTTCTCTCACCCCTGTGAAAGAACATGGAGTGCTATTTGAATGTTCACCGGAAAACTGGGCTGATCAGAAAAAACCACCACCAGTTATGGCTTACTGGGTAGTGGGGTAAGTGTGAGGGAAGTGTGTTCATGTAAAATAAAAGGTTAGAAAGAAGAGAGAAAGTAGCAGAGGTAAGTGATATCTTTAAATAATGGCCTGGGATTATAGTCAAGCTAAAATCTTTAATATATTTTAGAGTTTGATTTGGTTTTGATGTTTTTTGTTTTGTTTTTTCCTCTGAATTCTTCCCTGTATCCTTCCAGTGTAGATAAGAGAGGATAGTGGGGGAGGGGTTTGATCAAAGAAAAGAATGAATGAATGAATGATGAATGAATGAATGACTAAATGAGGGGATGATCGGGAGTAAGGCTGCTCCGAGACCTATCCAGAATCACTAAGAAGACATCCCCGCCCACCCCCCACATTTCCTTCCTTTTTCTTCATATCTCCCTTTTCTTTTGTTTCTCCGTTTGTTTGTTTGTTTGTTTGTTTGTTTGTTTGTTTATTTATTTATTTGGTTTTGCTTTCTCTGTGTAACAGTCCTGGCTGTCTGGCCTCAAACTCACTGAGATCCACATGCCTCTGCCTCCCAAGTACTAGTTTCAAAGGAGTGCGCTACCACTGCCTGTCTCCCGTTTGCTTTTTACTCTTCATTTTTTTCACACCTTCAAGACCCACCTGTCTATGTCACTCTGTCTGTCCACAGTGGGCCAGCTCCGTTGGCACTGGGCAGCTATTTCTGCTTTTCCTTCTGTGTGGGAGTTCCCTTCTGAAGTGGCACCTGTCACTTTCCGCTCCACCTCCAATACTGAGTTTGCTTATTGGCACTCCCCTCACCAGAACGCCGGCCTCATAAAATCAGTGTCTTCCTCACTGTTGATGTCTGCTGTAGCACCTGGCACTCAATAGCAACTTGGTAAAATATGAAGGTGCATTAGATGGATTTATGTTAGGCAAACAGCGTGGATGGATGAGTGAGCAGCATAATAGCATAGCACCTCCCAGCCTTACATCTTGTAGAAGAAATATGAAATATGTACATTCACTGTGTGTTGACGGACACAATATTGACATATATCTTTATATGTATATATGGCTATCTACGTGGGTATATATGTGTGCACACACAATAGACTAGACCAACTAGTAGAGGAATTCTGAAGCAAAAAAGAAAAAAAGAAAAAGAAAAATACAATCAAGGATTTAAAAGCAAGGCACATTGAAAGTTCATTTGAGCCTATTTAAAAAATGAATTGTTTGGAATGAACCTTCTAGGTTAAGGAAATGGGATGAATGAACAAGGGTCCACACAAAGGCAGTCATCAGGCATGGCAGTGAGAAGATGTGTTGACGGGATATACATGACTGCCCCACACAAAGATAAACTAAGTGATTGCACTAGAAATCTTAAGTTAAACCTGTTGCTGAGAGCCTTTGATTCCTAGCTAAGGAGCTGAATCTTTAAGGGAAGGGCTAGGCTATAAAAAGTTCTTGATGTTGGGGTAGCATTCATAGAGGAAAGGACACAGTTCAGTAGGACCATAGTTGCTGGACACGTACCTGGTAGTTCTAGTCTGTATGATAAGTATTTTACAGATGATCCACTGCCCCATAGAATTGAGAACCACCTAATCAGTTGTGGAATTCAGAGCTTCCTGTACCTGTGCCCAGACCCACTGAGTTGGAATCTGGGAATGGGATTCTGGTTTTAAGCTCCTTGTGATGTAATAGGTAATCCACTAGGTTTGAGAGTATCAGCCTGAATGTGATTATGTAATAGTGTCTAGACACAGCCTACAGGTGATACCAGGTTGGTACACACCCAGGTGCATGTTCAGAACAAGGGCTAGAAGAATCAGATGGTCTTGATCAGGGAACAGAGTATATAAAAGAGCTTTAAAGAAGGTCAGACAGAACTATCCCAAGTAAACTCTTCCATTTATGTGCAGTGTACGAAAGGAAAATAGATTAACTTCTTTTCTTTTTGAGACTGAATCTGGAAAAAGGGTGGTTTCAAACCCATGATCCTGCTACCTCAGCATCCAGAGTACTTACAATTACCACAGGTGTGTCCCACCATACTTGGTTCTCTATGGAAAATTTCACTCTCTAGAAAAACCAAACTAAATTTTAATGTTAGGTGGGGTGTAATCACATTTTTCTGTCCTGCCTGCCAGCTCCCTAATAGCCACACAGAGACTTCTTATTAATTATTGAAGCTTGGCCAATAGCTTGGGCTTATTACTAACTAGTTCTTAGAACTTAAATTAACCCATATTTTTATTGCTCTACTTCTATCTTGTGGCTTTTACCTCTATCCCATCTTTTGTGTCCCAACTCATTCTGTATCTGTCCAGCTTCTTCTTACATCTCCTCCCTTCTTTTTCCCAGCATCCTCTCTGCCCAGAAAATCCTGCCTAGCTATTGAGCATTTAGCTTTTTATTAAACCAATGCTCATGACAAATCTTCACAGCATACAAAAAGATAATTTCAGAACAGTGGGGAGATAATTCAGTGGGTAAAACACTTGTCATACAAGCATGAAGATCCAAGTTTAAGTTCCCAAAGCCTGTGTAAAGCCAGCACAGTAAAACACATTTGTAATTCCAGTGCTGCTCTGGGGAGATAGGAAGCAGACAGGAAAAGCCCAGAAAGCTTGAAGTTTGCAGCAGTAGACAACAGTTCATTTCAAGTAAGGTGAAAGACTAGAGCCAATGCCTACAGCTGTCTGTTTACTTGTATATACATACACCATGAGGTGCATGCATATGTGAGCACACACAAATGTAGTGTATTGCGGTAAATAAGGATCAGGATAAACAAATAGGCCGAATAGATGTTTAATCAGGGAGAAATAACTTACAACCTAGACAGATGAACACCAGGAAATTCAACCCGATCCTCTCCTGTCTGAGTCACGCCAGAAAGAGAGCCCCTTCCTGGCCCCCTCCGACCTCCTTCGTCAGGTCACCTCCGCCCATCGCTCCACCCCCGATGGGCGTGGTCAGTGCTACAGAAGGACTACCTCACTACAGTAGTGTTAATCCAAATCTATGCAAATGAGTTGTCATTTTATATTTAATAATGATAGCAGTTTGAAATGTAAGTGAAAATAAAATATTTCATGGCTACTGTACTTAAAATAATATAGGAAGTATTGCCTGGATGGTAAGAATAATCAGGTTGAATATTTAAGACTGAGGGATATGATGATGTGCATTGATTAAATGAGAGTTCTTGCTCTCTAGGACAATACCATTAATTAGGACATACATTATTTATCCAGAAACTAAGCTTTATTCTATATTCTATTTAGATTTAGATTCATGAGTTTGGTGGTGATGGTAGTGGCAGATTGGTATTTTGGTTTCTTTTTTTTTTTTTTCCAAGCTTATTATTGATTCTCCAAAAACTGAAAGAAAACAAAGGGAAAACATTTTATCACCTTTAATTTCACCATGTTTTTTCTTTCTGCAGGAGACTCTTCCTTCACCCAAAACCTCAGGAACTGTATGTCTGTTTTCATGACTCGGTCACAGAAATTGCCATTGAAATGGCATTTAAATTGTTCTTTGGATTAACATTGTAGCTGTGTTTGTAGGATTCAAAGGAACACACAAATGGACCATGGAACAGTGTCAGAATGGCCGACATCAACATATAGAGATAAGGCTCAGCTTAGTTGTTTTTCAGTATTGAACTTATCTTTTTAAATATTGAAATGCAATTCTGTTGGGTTTTGCATCAATTCATATATAGTATTATAGAAGACATCTGAGTAGATACTTGATCAAAATATGGAGACAAGATTGCTAATTTATTGCCATTTTGGTATACCATCCTAATTTATTGAATAGTTTTAAATAATGTGAATTCTTTAATAAAAAAATATAGATGTTTATTTGGAGATCATAGTTAACTCATTGTTTTTCCTAAAACCCAATACTGACTTATATCTGGTGAAGGAATGAAATTGAGGACATGACAAGGTTCTGTAGTTGGTCAGTTCTGTATTGTGAGGGGCTCTGCACCTGTCAGGCCTCAGAATATCTGTGTACTAATAATATTACTATTGAATTGGGATTTTTGAAAGTACCAGTTAAGAAAAATACATTGTTTTCCTTTTTCGTATTAGTGTCTAAATTTGCCTTATCTGTGTTCTGGTTTCTTAAAATCAAAAGCCTGTGCATAAGTTTAAGTATTTTAGTAGATACCTCAGTGCAAAGGAAGAGGTGAAGGATGAAGTTTAATGTTAATTTATATTTACTTGATTCTCTTTATTCTTTGTGATGAACCTTATTTTGGAATAGGAGACATTTTTAATCATCCATAAGCTCCCATTTCTTTTTCTATTCTTGTTGAAGTACATTCTGGTACACATACATTTTATATCATTACTACCAAATCATTTTTAAAACACTGGATGAGGGCTGGAGAGATGGCTCAGAGGTCACTGGAAGAGACCTGAGTTCAGCTCTCAGCACCCACGTCAGACAACTCAAAGCCACCTGTAACACACACACACACACACACACACACACACACACACACACACTCATATATACTTACACACAAACTCACAACTAGAAAATAAATCTTTTTTTAAAACACTGAAAAAGTAAAACAGAGTAACACTGATATAGGGTAACTTCATTTATAAAATACTAATTTTTTTTTCTTATAAATAAGCATCAGTCTGTATTGGATCTCTCAAAGGGAGAGGGAGCATTGTAAGCCATGGCAGTTTACTTGATCTTCAGTAGTAAAGACTGACTAAAGCATTGGTTTTCTTTGGTGCTGAGAATTTAGTATATTGAAGAAAAGAAAAATATAGCAAGTGCTACATTTACTATTACCACTTACCCGGGTGGACATCCTTCAGGCTCAGTATCCCCCACACTTTAAAGTTGTGGGCAGTTTCTCCTTCAAGGATTGTATATGTTGGAAGGCAAGCCATCTAAAATCAATCTAAGGTTAGTTCATCCCTGCATTTACCCTTCTTTAAACATGAGCCCTCCAGGTTAAAACTACAAAACATCAGTGTATCTTGAGCCATTTGGTTTAATTAAAAAAAAAAAAAAAAAACTGTTACCCCTCTGTCATCAGTTTAAGAGATTCTTATCAAGGCATTGGTGACAAATGCCATCTGCTTACATCACTAGTGACTTCTTAAGGGGCTTTAATTTCAGCTTTCAAGTCAGAGAAGGAAATTGTGGATCTTGAAATGTAGAAAACATTTTATAATCTCCCCCCCCCTCTTAACAACACTGAATGAAATTGGTCTAAACTGCCTGTGTGCCAATGTATCTGTTCCAGCATTTCTAAAAATGTATTTATTAAATGTCTTCAGTTTCTGGAAACACCCTCAAATCCCAAGCTGTTTCTAATACTGATCATTATGATCAATGTAGCTGTTGACCACTCAGGTTTTCAAACAGAACAAACTAGAGATTTTAATACAGGGAACTTTTTTCCCCCACTTAAAATTTGATCTGTTGGTGTGTTCTTGGTGTTAGCCGTGAGAACACTATTAAAAAAGTAAAAATACAAAGCAGACGAAAGATCTTAAAAATGGAAGTTTGCTGTGTGGTCCATGCACAATAACGTTGAAGAGGCATTGCATTTTTAAAAAATAAAATACTGTCTTATTTTTCATTTGCAGGTGAATATTGGAGGTAAACTTAGCTGACCATTTCTCTAACTAGTTCAGACACATCTGAAACTCAGTCTGACTGTTGGACAGTGAGTACTGTCTGTCTCCTTTACAGGGAAGGGATAAAGTGACAAGTGCAGAACCCATAGTGATGGGCTTCAGAGAAACCTTTTCTTTTATATTTATTTTCTTTTTTTAATTATATTTTAAAATTTTACATGTCGATCCCAGTTCCCTCTCCCCCTCCCTCCCTCTTACGCTCCCTTCTCTCTCACATGCACCCTGACCACCCTCCCCTCCCATCCCCCCACCCCAATTCCACGTGTAGGGCTTTGCCATCCAGGTGGGGTCATGTAAATCTGTCAAGTCATTTGAAGTAGGGACTAGGACTTCTCTCCTGTCTCTAGGTTAAGGCAATATCCCTCCAAGGGGGATGTGTCTGCAAGGTCCTTTTGTGCACCAGGAAATCATCCTGGTTCCACTGCCTGAGGTCCCTTAGACTGCTCAGGCTTTCTAGCTGAGACCCATGTTCAGGGGGCCTGAGACAGCCCCATGCTGGATTCCCAGCTTTCAGTCGGGGGTGGGGGTTGGGGGCATTAGCTCCTCCTTGTTCAGGTCAGCTGTCTTTACGTGTTTCTGCAACCGGTCTTGTCCTCTCCCTCTGTATCTGGATTCTAGTTCAACTCAGTGTTTCGTTATGGGTGTTTGTTTCTGTTTCCAACAGGTACTAGATGAGGGCTCCATGATGGTGGATAAGTTAGTTGTTGATCTCACTATCAGGGAAGGACATTCATGGTAGCCTTTCCACGGTTGCTCAAATTGTTAGTTGGAATCAGTCTTGTAGGTCTCTAGACCTTTCTTTAGGTTCAGATTTCTCTTCAAACCAATAGTGGCTCCCTCTTTTATGTTCTCTCTCTCTCTCTCTCTCTCTCTCTCTCTCTCTCTCTCTCTCTCTCTCTCTCTCTTCTGTCTTTTATTCCTCCCCTGATTCACTCTTCCTAGTTACACATGCCTTCCTCTCCTCCCCCTCATTTTCTCCTAGTTCTCTCTCCATTCACTGCCCCCCCCACTTCCCCTGAGCTCTGGGGGACTTGTCCTTTACCCCTTATGTGAGGGACTTTATATGAATCTCTTAGAATACACCTTGTATCCTAGTTCCTTTGGTGGTGTGAATTATAGGCTGGTGATCCTTTGCTCTAGGTCTAAAATCCATATATGAGTGAGTACATACCATGTTCCTCTTTTTGTGACTGGGTTACCTCATTCAGGTTGGTTTCTTCAAGTGCCATCCACTTGCCTGCGAATTTCAAGATTCCATTATTTTTTTTCTGCCAAGTAGTATTCCATTGTGTAAATATGCCATATCTTCTTTATCCATTCTTCAGTTGAGGGGCATCTGGGTTGCTTCCAGGTTCTTGCTATTACAAATAATGCTGCTATGAACATAGTTGAGCAGATGTCTTTGTTGCATGGGTGTGGCTCATTTGTGTATATGCCTAAGAGGGGGATTGCTGGGTCCTTTTCCGAGGAACCGCCATACTGATCTCCAAAATGGCTGTACGAGTTTTCACTCCCACCAGTAGTGGAGGAGTGTTCCCCTTTCTCCACATCCTCTCCAGCATGAGTTGTCATTGGTGTTTCTAATTTTAGCCATTCTGGCAGGAGAAAGATGGTATCTCAAAATTGTATTGATTTGAATTTCCCTGATAGCTAAGGATGTTGAGCACTTTCTTAAGTGTCTTTCAGCCTTTTTGATTTCCTCTATTGAGAATTCTTTCTTCAGTATCCCATTTTTAAATAGGGTTATTTGGTGTTTTGTTGACTAGTTTATTGAGTTCTTTGTATATTTTGGAGATCATCCCTTTGTCAGATGTAGGATTGGTAAAAATCATTTCCCAGTCTGTGGACTGCCATTTGGTCTTGTCCACTGTGTCCTTTGCCTTACAGAAGCTTCTAAGTTTGAGGAGGTCTCATTTATTAATTGTTGATCTCAGTGTCTATGCAGCGAAACCTTCTTGAGTTAAGTTTCAAGCACATCCTAATAATAATGTTCTAAAAAATATTAAATACAATATCTACCTACCATTCTTAGAAAATCAGACACAGTCAGGCATGGTGGCACATGGCTTATAATCCCCGTATTCAGAAGGCTGAGGCAGGGGGATATAATAAATTCAAGTATAAATTCAAGAATAACATGGCTATTCAAGGACAGGCAAGGCTATCTCAAACAAAAACACAAGTATTTCCTTACTACTATCACATGTTTCTTGACCCCTAAGAAATTTTAGACTCTTAGCTTGCCTTTTCCTCTTCTCTCTCTTCTCCCTTCCCTTAGCTTTCTTTTGTTTCTGTCATGTCAGAGAATTATACCTAGGAGAGTACATGGTGTTTCACTTTCTGTGCCAAGGGACTATGGATAAGGATGCATGCCTAACAAAATGGTAATTGTGAAATAATCTCTTTTTAAATATTTCTGACACAAATTTAAAATATTTTGAAACAAGTCTACTAGGTTTTTCTGCTTTAACAGTTATTTGTTTCTGTGTGTTCTCTAAATCATGGTTGTCACATATTGCAAAGTATGAAGTGTGAGCTGTGGCTGCTATTTATCAACATTGAATGGCCTCTGCTTGAGAACCAAACGCAACAGCTGAGTCATGCCTATTACTGTACAATGTGATAGGAATGATTGGAGAAAATTACTCCTCACTCTTGTTTTGAGATTTATATTTTTGATTTAAAATAGTAAGTGCTATTAAAACTTAAACCTACACACCAAACTGTATGAACTAATTTAATTTTAAAGAGTTTTATTTCTGTATATAATTAAAACTATTTTTCTACATTCGGAGTTTTAAATAAAAGTGTTTTGGAGGTTTGCAGTATCAATTGCCTTTAAAAATTACTACATTGTGTGTGTGTGTGTGTGTGTGTGTGTGTGTGTGTGTGTACATGCATGTGTTCATGTGCTCACATACCAGCACCATGGCGGAGTTTACTTTCTCTTTCTACTCTGTGGGTCCTAGGGATGGAACTTCATGCTTGTCAGTGGCTACCTTAACCTAATGAACCATCTTGCTATCTTTATGTTACCTTTACATACACTTACCCAACAAATGTTTCCTGACCTTCTACCCACTGCTAAACACTGCAAATACAGCAGTGAACAAAATTGCTAAAGATTCTGCCCTCACAGAGTTTCTGTTCCCGTGGCAGAGGGAGACCACAAATATGATAAAGTGTTGTACTGAATGCTAAGAGAAGAAAGAACACTTAGGGCTGCCTGGGAAGGAATTGCTAAAGTGACTGATCTCAGCCCAAAGTGAGAAAAATGTAACCATCGCTGATTTCAAGGAGAAAGGAGTAATAGCACAGAGGCCTTTCTCCCAAGTACTTTTATAGATAGTAGACCACTAGCATCTTTCCTTCCTTGATCAGCAGGTTGTCACGAAGCTAGTCAGTCAGTTTCAGGTCTAGATTGACAGCTTGACTAAGTGCCCTCAGTGTTAAAAAGTCGTATTCCTAAGTAAGTACTTTCTTATTGGTCTTGTATCACTGAATGCAGATAAGTGGATGCAGATGATAACATAGAGGAATAAGCAGTAATATCGTCAGCTGTCAAATCAAACATAAGCATGGAGGATGAGACAGTGGAAATGGCCCTGAAGGCATCAGACTTATTTTCTGTCTTCAGAGATACCATGTTCCCTCGGGCAAGAGATGGATCCACCCTTAAAACTACAGGTTGACATGGAGAGTAATTGAAGTAATGCCACCCTTAAATTTTTGCAAGCATTCTTGTTGATGCACTTCAATACTTAAAGGAGACAAACATTTCACTGACAAATAAAAAGCTGCTCATTTTTGGAATTTGCAGCAGGCTTCACAAAGGGTTTAGCAATCAATGTGATAAGACTAACTTTAAAAAAAAAACTATGAGTGATGATTAAAGAGTTGCTTCAGGGAGATTACTCTAAACACAGTCTATTAAATAGAAAGATGGACTGAAAACATAGACAGAGCTGGTGAGTCACTGGAAAGGAAGTAGTGGTAAATACATGGAACCGGGAGAACTTACCAGCTGACATCATGAGCAGCAATCAAAATACTAACAAGATTCCTGGTCTGTGGTCCTACATACAAAATTAGAAAGGTAATAGCACGGTTAAGATACCAATGAAAAATTAGGCCTTGTGTTCAGAAAAGCTCCAACTCATTAAGGTTCTTGTAGGTCAGACCACGTAAAAGGTAAGACAGGCTCTTTACTGAAAACTATCATACATGCTTTAAGAAACAATTAGGAATATGTATATGCTGCCATAGTGGGATCTGGTATATTTGATGGGAAAAAAAAGGAAAGAGGTATTCTTACCAAAGCAGCTTGAATGTATTACCAGCTTCTGATGAATCCTCAAATGTGGTGACAGGGCAGGTTTGTTGCACTGAGACCCTTTCAAGCACACTATGAGGTTAAAACTTCTTTCTCAATGGTGTTCATACTTGAATTGCTTTTTTTCATTTTCATTCTCCTACTGATAAAATAGAATGAATTTTCTAGGGGTTACATGTGTAATATTGCCCAAAACCAAAGCAATAATGTTTACTCCAACTGTCTTTTGTCAAGTATTAAATTTTCAAAAGTATATAACAATACTATATATGTCTGAAATTTTGGAAAATGTATTTTTAGGCTTCCTCCCTGGTGTCTAGCTGCCATAGTGCAGGAAGGTGCAATTTGGCTGCTTGAGGAGAAAGACCAGCAGCATTTCTCACCCAGCTGTTTACCCCTGAGTTAAAATGCTGGACCACCTGTCCTGTCAAGGCTCTATATGCTTCACTGACTTGTAGGGAAAACACACACATACCAAACAAAAACACAAGGAAGCTTGAATGCTTTACTGAGGGAGTGCCTCAGTTTCTCAGGAACTGAAAGGCACACAGTCCCCCAGGAGCCATGGACTCTAACCTGAAAAACATCTGATATATGATTCTCAAGGAAGCTACACCAGGCCAACTCCACGATTCCCTGTGAATAACCGGGGTGAAAATGACTAAAAGTCAGTAAATATATGAAACTGTCAAGAAACAAATTTTTAAAAATAAAAATGTACTTTTAGATACGCTTTATGGCATTCCAGAGGCTCAAATGGAAAGTAATTCAAGGGCCATAGTGGTGCACTTTAAGCACTTGGAAGGCAATGACAGGTGGATCTCTGTGAGTTCGAGGCGAGGCCAGCCTGGTCTACAGAGCGAGTTCCAGAACAGCCAAGGCTACACGAAGAAATCCTGTTTTGAAAACTAAAATAATAATAACAAGCAATTCAAAATTTATTGATGTACTCTGCAAGAGTTCTCATTTTAACTGGGTAAGTGTACATTTTAAAAGATCTTTCATTTGGCATTTGTCACTATAATTAGTAACAATAGCAAAAAAAAAAAAAGGTTTCTGTAAACTTTAAAGTTTTAAAAGAAAGGTTCTGTGGAGGAAAAAAATAGTTTATGGATTGCTCCTTAAGAAAGTCATTGGTTCTTAAACCTGTAAAGTAGGATTTCCCAAAGGGAGCCCCAGGCGTGATGATGCATGCCTTTAATTCCAACACTCTGAAAATAGAGGCTGGCATATCTCTATGAGTTCAAGGCCGCTTGATCTACATGCTAGTTCCTGGACAGCCAGGGCTACAAAGAAAAACCCGATTTTCCATAACACCTGCTGGAATGATTAGGGCCTAGCTTAATAATCAATTTAAACAAACCATCAACACATAATGCCACTGTCTATCTCCCTTGAATGTTTAGTTTCAGTCCAGAACCACTATTCAATAGAGATTTCAGTTCAAATATCCCAGTTTAAATAAAATAGGTTGACTTCTGAGGAGGAAATAGCAAATCTGATGTCCAGAGTGACTGGACAAATGGTCTGCGCTAAAGCAGACTGTAACATCTATTTAAGCCAGAGGCTCATGAAGCCAACAGAGCCTACACATGCTGGTAATATACACATGCAGCATCTGGCTAGAGTGTGGCTCCTGAGAAGAGAGCCGGAAACTAACTGCGAACTGAATCCGATGCACTTAATCATAGGGTACAAGTAGACTGAAGGACCTTCCACCCAGGAGGATCACTCATCACCCGCCTCGGCCCCCCCCCACCCCCCAACTCGGAGCGGCACCTGTATACTGCGCGTGCGCACTTGGAAACACGTGTTGGGGTCACGTGCGCCACGCCTGGTGGCAAGGCCGTTGGGCGCGCCTGCGCAGCTCTTCAGGCCCGTGCCCGATGTGCTGTTCTCCCAGCATCCTTAGCGCCGCCGCTTTCCCGCCAGGATAAAGCCGAAGCGGTTTTCCGGTCCTCATTATTGTCGCCCAGGTGTTAGTGTGGCGCTGCAGCCGTCGGTTGTCCGTCTTCTGTCCAGCATGTCGAGTGACTCCTCCAAGAAGCAGCCTTCGAAGAAGAGGTTGTTCGACCCTGTGTCCTTCGCGAAAGACCTGCTGGCCGGCGGGGTCGCGGCCGCCGTGTCAAAGACAGCGGTGGCACCCATCGAGCGAGTGAAGCTGCTGCTGCAGGTGCAGGCGTCCTCCAAGCAGATCAGTCCCGAGGCGCGCTACAAGGGCATGGTGGACTGCCTGGTGCGCATTCCCCGGGAGCAGGGTGCGTATGGTGCCACACTTGGCCTCTGTGTCCCAGACACGGGTGAGGGGGAGAGGCGACCCAAAGACAAAGGGGGTCGGTCACCCATAGGAACGGTGGTCCAGAGGAAAGGGGCTCATCCCGAGGTGGTGACTCAGAGGAAAGGGGGGTCACCTAGAGAAGGGAGAAGATGACCAGAAAGGGGGTTATCCAGAAAAGGGAAGCCTTTAGGGGCAGGGTGACACCAGAGGGACGATTCAGAGGAAATAAGGGAGCCATCCAGAGAAAAAGTAACCCAGGGGAAAAAGATCATCCAAAGAAGGGGTCACTCGAGGGGTGGTGCTGAGGAATTGTGTTACTCGGTGGGAAAGGGTGTGTTTTCCAGAGAAAAGAGAGCAATACGAAAGAAAGGGGGAGGGTAAGTCAGAAAGGGTTGTGTAGGGTAGAGGTAGCTGTCAGCTATAGCCTAGCAGATGTTTTTTTTTTGTTTGTTTGTTTGTTTGTTTTTTGTTTTGTTTTGTTTCTTGGTTTCTGGTAGTGTTGTGTTGGTAAAAAATGCAGGGGCACTGGTTTTTGGGGTTTTTTTTGTTTGTTTGTTGTTGAGACAAGGTCTATGTAGTGCTTGCTAGCCTGGAATTCTCTATGTAGACCAAGCTGGCATAGAACTTGAATTAATCTTACTGCCTGTTTTTGAGAATCCGTTTCTTTTTTTTCTTTTCTTTTTTTAATTTAATTTTTTTCTTATTTTACATATCGATCCCAGTTCCCTCTCCCTCGAATTCTCCCATACTCCCTATACCCTGTACCCCCACCACACTGCATCCCATCACCTACCACCCACCCCCAGGGAGGGTGAGGCCTCATGAGGGATCATCAAAGTCTGTCAAGTCACTTGGAGTAGGACCTAGGCCCTCCCCCCGTGTCTCTAGGCTAAGGGAGTATCCCTCTATGGGGAACGGGTTCCCAAAGTCAGTTCCTGAACTAGGGATACATCTGACATACATTGTCAGAGATATCATAGACTGCCCAGGCCTCCTAACTGACATCCATGTTCAGGGGTTCTGGGCTGGTCTTATGCTGGTTTCCTAGCAATCAGTCTGGGGTCCACAAGCTCCCCCTTGTTCGGATCTGTTTTCTAACCTACAAGAATTTAGTGTCCTCACTCATCTAACAGGCATTCTCAACACCAAGAAAGCCTTAAATGCATCCTGTTTGCAGGTGACACCCTAGCCTGCCCTTTCCGTATAGGTCTGTTAACATCAGTATTTGTGCTTTGAGTATACTTGTGCCTAGTTCAGAAAAAAAGGAGTATATGACTTCCCAGGGTGCAAGATGCTTTATATTAACTAGTATCCAAGTGGCTTCAAAGTTTCTTGAAGTAGTAAGCTTCTGAGAAGTACACATATGGATGCATTGTAGCCTCTGAGTATTCTGCTGCTTAATCTCAAAAAGCTCTGCTTATTTTAGAGAACAACTGAAGACCAGGCCTCCCAACAAGGTAGTTCTCTCTGTGCAGAGTGTTAGAGTAGGTCAAAACTCAGCAGTCAGGACAAGTAGTGTTTTAATGTCACTTCTGAAATCATTTACTTAAAACTACTTTGTGTGGCTTTGTGTTTGCAGTCATGTGTGCCATGGCATAGATGTGGAGTCAGGGAATAACTTGCAGGTGCCACTTCTCACTTTGCTCTGTGAGTGTCCTGGGGGGTGTGGTAGAACTCGGGTCATTGGGCTTGACAACAGGTGCTTTTACTTGTTGAGCCATTTCACCATCACTAACATGATTTTTAAAAATTAAAGTTAAACAGAAAAACATCAACAACACCAAGCAAAATACAAATAAACCATAAGATCAGTATTCCTTTTTCAAATTTGTTTTAGGTATGAATTTTTTTATTAATATTGAAATGATATGAAAGCCCTTCATGATCCATTGCTGAAATTGTTCCTGTGTTAGGTAATCAGCTTATCAGAAGTCTTGTATCCATTTAGATATTCAGGTGCTATTGAAAACCCTGTAGAAACTTTAAGAGAAAATAGATGTGATGTTTATTCAGAGCAGGAAATGAAATGGCTTCAACTCCAGAGCAGTCCTTTCCTTTTGCTGCTACTAGGTCTATAGTAGAGTTTTCTCAAAATAATAGAACAATGGTCTCTATCCAGGTAGGGTATTGCTTAAGCTAAAATGTTGGGTGACAGCCTGGGCAGCATATTAAGACACACCACTTGAAACAAGAAAATGGGGATTGAGGAAAGTACTTTATTTCTAGAGATGTGATTACAACTATTCCTGATGATTGAGTAGAACGTAGGGGATTAAGAGTGGAGTCTAGGCAGTATCTAAAGTCCACATAGAGTAGCCATCTGCAGGGCTGACAAGATGGCACAGGGTTAAGAACATGCTTTCTTGTAGAGGACTTGAGTGTGGTTCTCATCATCCATGTGGCTGCTTATAACCATCTATAATTCTAGTCCCATGGGTCTGATGTTGTATTCTGGGTTTGGTGGCACCAGGCATGCACATGGTACACATACATAAATACAAGCAAAACATTCATACACACAAAATAACTTTTTTAATTACTTAATTTTTGTTTTGTTAGATAAGCTCTCACTATGTAGCTCTGGCTGGAACTAAATATGTAGACCAGGCTGCCGTCTCACTCACGGAGATCCACCTGCCTTTACCTCCTGAGTGCTGGGATTAAAATCATGAACCACCACACCCAGTTTATAACTAAATTTTTAAAAATATACTGACTATATGGAGGAACAGACAGAATGATAACAAGTTCAAGGGCTTGTCAAATCTACATTTGGAGGCCTATTTTGAAAAAGGAAGTGGCTCTAATAAAGTGTTCTAGTCAGGTTATGATTCCCAATGCTATTGTATCTTAAATATTTTTTAGGGTTTCTTTAAACTTTGAGAACGTGTTTCTTGATTTTTAAAATTCAACTCCTGAAATACAACTCTTACAGCTTCGGTTAATTCTATATATTTTTCTGGTCTTCATTATCTTTACCTTCAAGACGTAGTCATAAGCAGAACTTTGAGAAACTGTTCTGTGTGGGTCATTGTTACTAAGGCATCAGGATAACTCACAGCAGGGAGAGCATTGCCATCTAGAGGCATTTTGAAATATTATGGGGAAAGTTTTGTGTGTCCAGTCCAGAGAGATATAATCCTAAAACACAATAACATAAAAACAAGGGTCAGGAGGACTCCTGCAAGTTCAAGGACGACCTGAACTGCTGCTTAGTAAGATCCTGTCTCAGAAAGAAAGGAAGAGGGGAAAAAGGACCCACTGTTATTTGATTTAAGGATACCTTTGTCTCGAAAACTTCATTTGTGTTCAGTGTGTTAACCAAAGCTGCAAGACTCTTCTGTTCTTTTATAAAATGAACATCTGGTACAGTAGTCAGAATTACAGTAAATAACTCATGATCTGAATTAGCTATTTCTAAAATGATCAAATGTGTTTGTGAGCCGTGGAAAAACTGGGAAGACCAGCACCTTTCTCATGTGACTGCAAACCAGTTTCTTGGTCTTTTTCAGTTTAAATCTCCCTTGATTGGTTGGAAATACTCCTACAAAAATGTGCTTTCTGAACCTTTTAAAAGTGACCCTAGAGCGAGGCATTGGTGGTGAATGTCTTTAATTCCAGCACATGGGGAGGCAGAGGCAGGCTGATCTCTGTGAGTTTGAAGCTGGCCTGGTCTACAAAGCAAATTCCAGGACAGGTTCCAAAGCAATACAGGGAAACCCTGTCTTGAAAAAACAAAACAAACAACAAAAAACAAGTGACTCTATCCTTTGCTAGTGTAGTATCAATGTTTTACTATGGCTGTGGTCTAGAATAGTAAGTCTTAGTGTCATTTGCACAGTCAGAGTTCACTTTCTGAGTTCTTTCTTTCAGAGGTCAGATTCTGGAAACAAATGTGTAGCTCTGTTTTTGAAAGTTTTTATTAACCAATAAGAACTTAAATACCACTAAAAATACTCCAAAAATGAGTTTTACACCATCCTCTGTAATTTAGCACAATTCTTAACTAACAATAAATATTCCCTTATAATTTTTTTAAATTCCTCATGTTTAATTTTTTTGTTTTACTTCCACTTGACAGTTCCCCGCCCCTACACACACACACACACCTTTTAGACCCATTTTCATGTAGTTCTAGGTGGCCTCAAATGCTGGGGTTAAAGAAAAGTGTGCACTACCACACCTGAAAGTTAGTCTTTCAGGTGCATATATATGAGGGAGCATATATATGATAAACATTTTTGTGGACATGTGAGTTATTCTGTCAAACTGCTTGTGCTTTAGTTCTAATTCTATATAATTACAAGTTACACTGAACAAATTCTCTGAGCCCTAGAAGCCATTTTAACCCAAAACTTCATCTGGATAAAGGGGAAAATACTACTCCATAGTGGGTAGGTAATAGTGGTAAATGAGTTAAAAGAAATATCTAGCAAATTACTATTTTTCTTGCTAATATTGCCTCAAAATTGTTTTTTCTACCTTTCTTGATGGAAATCTTGACATTATACATCTACCTTGTACAGGAAAAATGTTTTCATATGTGTGTTATCTTGGTAACTACCATCAAGCAAATTAAGTTATTAATAACCATATATAATTAAAACATTTTGTATATTTTCAGTGTTATGATTCACTCTTAGTAAATTTGAAGTATACACCAGTGCTATTAATAATAGTAACCATCCTGTGGATCCCCAGCTCTGGGATCCCTCCCATCCTAATGGGAGCTGTTTGCTTACTTTCATAAAGTTTGCATACTTCGTGTTATATACCCAAAACTTACTCACCCCATATAACCAACATCTCACTTTTCTCCATTTATTTAACCCCAGACACAAACCTCCCCAACCTCTGGGAATCACCATGTTTTTAGAGTCTATTATAAATGATACCATGTGACATTTTTCTTTCCATACCTTCCTGTTTCAATTAGCATAATATCCTCAGGTTCATTTATGATTATTAAAAATAGATACTTCTTGAATATGATACATTCTAAACACTCCTCCTTCTACTCCTCTCAGTTCCTCCCCACCTTCCCTCTGCCCCAGATCCATTCCCCCTCTTTTTACTCTTCAGAAAAGACCAAGCTTCCAAGAGATGACAGCCAAACAGGAAACTATAAGACAAGGAAAAAGCTGTCATATCTATGCTGGGACAAGGTAACCCAGCAAGAAGAAAAGACTGCCAAAAGCAGGCACAAGACTCAGAGATACAGCCTGGCAGTGGTGGTGCACACCTTTAATCCCACCCAGCACTTGGGAAGCCAGCCTAGTCTGCAGAGTTCCAGGAAAGCCATGGCTGAGAAAACCTATCTCAAAAGGAGAGAGAGCGATACACTTGCATCCACTCTTAAAAGGCCCACAAAAACACCACACTACATATAGTCAGAGGACCTGATGCAGACCCTTGCAGGCTCCATGCTTGTCAATCAGTCTCTGTGAGCTTGTGTGTACCCTGCTTAGTTGTTTCAGTGGGCCATATTCTCCTGGTGTCCTATATTTCCTCTGACTCCTGCAATATTTCCTTTCCCTCTTTCGAGGGGTTCCCCAATCTCCAAGAGGAAGGACCCAATGGTGAACTCTATTTTAAATTCTTTGCACATAATGTCTGGCTGCAGGTCTGTGCACCAATATATTCTCATGTTCATAGTTGTAAAGTGCCAGATTTTTTCTTTTAAGGAACAGTAATTCTATTGTGTATATATTCTACACTTCTTAATTTATCTGCTGATGGATGCTTAGGCTGTTGTTTGTTGCACTGCATATACAAATATAGACATCTTCAACATCTTATTTTAGATCCTCTATATATGTACTCAGGAGTGGAATTGTGGACCCCGTGGTGGTTCTGCCTTTTAGTTTTGTAGAGAATCCCATACATGGTTCTTTTTTTTCCTACATACTTGACTAATATTTTTGTCTTTTGATGGCAGCTATTCTAACAGATACAAAATAACTGTGGTTTTAATTTGCATTCTCCCCATTTCAAGTCCTGTATAAGAAAACATTTCATTTTATGAAATCCCTGTCCTTTGAATATTTATTTTTAAAGGCCTGATTTGGGGTACTCTTTAGTGTGGGTAGAGATATACTATTCAAAGTACACTGTCAAAACACTTGACAGTTTGCCATCTGCTGAAAATAATTAAGATTATGGGAGAGTTAACTGTCATGTTCCAGGGGAGCTCTGCATTTCAAGTCACATGATGGCTGAGTCATGAGGGTTGAGTGGTCAGTACTTGAAGAACTGAGGTGGGAGATTATTACTTCACAGATTAAGAGAGTCTACCTTGAAATACAATGGATCAACTCCTCTTCTGCCACTGAGAATCCCCCTTCTCCCTCTTTTGTAAATTCCAGCTTTTTTAATTCTCATGACTGTATGTATAATTCCTAAGTGGATCTGTTTGGTGCAGTGTACTAACACATAACTGCTTTACTACTGTAGGAATTAGTATCAAGGTTTGGGGATGTGGCTGGAGGTTATTAGTGAGGCTTCTTTCCCACTGACTAGTTAGTCCTGTGTTTGCCTAGCTAATACTTTGATAAGTTCTTTAGATTTTATGTTTGAAATGAATAAAATTGGGATGGGCTGTATAGTTAATGCTGCTGTTTCTGCCTTCAGTAAAAGTGTTAAAACACATTCTTTACTAATGCAAAATATATTTGTGTGTTTGATTCTGTAGGTTTTTTAAGTTATTGGCGTGGCAATTTGGCAAATGTTATTCGATACTTTCCAACACAAGCATTAAACTTTGCTTTTAAGGACAAATACAAACAACTATTCATGTCTGGAGTTAATAAAGAAAAACAGGTAATTATGTTTCAATATGTCTAAAATTTTACAAAAAAACTATTGAATTTATCTTACCTATAATATCTTATTTAGAGTGAAGGAACAGTGGTATCTTTAAAAATAATAAAATGGAGCACATAAAATGTTGACAAGTTAGTATATATATACATATATGTATATATATAGTTATAAAAACTATATTAGCTTCAACAAGTTTTGTGAAATCTCTAGCTTAAGTAACCAAAGGATCATTGGTCTCATGACATTATTTCCCAGAGTAAATACTAAATGTAATTCATAATTACTGCTTCTCATAAGCATAAAGAAACAGCCATCAAGTTTGTATTTCTTACCACTGGGTTGCTTATTCCCTGAAGAAATGAATTGTTTTTCCTTTATGGAAATGAATCATGAGAGGAATTTCTGGAGTGTAAATGAGTAGTAGAGCACATTCTTTGCATGTGTGGGACTCAGATTTAATCTCCAGCACAGAAGCTGAGACAAGAAAGGTCAAGCTATGAGAAAATGATGTAATAAACAGAGTGAGTAAGGCTTGGGAGATTAAAGTTTAGTAGACAAAGTATTTGTTGCAGAATCAGAATCTGAGTTTTTTTTTAAAGAAAGAATTGGAACCTGGTTGTGTCCACTTGTAATCCTCATGCTGGGAAAGGGAGACCGCCATACCCTTGGGGTCTACTGGCCAGCCTGCCCAGCCTAATCAGTGAGCTCCAGTCAATAGGAGCTCACCCCACTCAGACTCACCCCACCCCACCCCCAAATGCAAGGTATACATAGCACCTGAGGAATGACACCCAACGTTGTTCAGTCCATGCACGCACACGTGGACACACACACACACCCCACACACCATAGCAAACAGAAAATCAATAATGGTATTGGAGGTTTAATAACTTTTAATAACTAGGAATAGACTGGAAAGTACAGTGAATATGTAAGCCAGTCACCTCCTTTGTCACCATTACACTAAAACAGAGGATACAACAAAAAAGAAATGAGAAGGCGATACCCTTGATGAACATAGACCAAAGAAAACCCTTCAACAGAATTCTAGCTCATGAAATCCAGCAGCACATTAGAGAGAGAACAGAAAGTATTCCTTCTGACCAAGTGGGATTCATTCCAGACATGCAAGGATGGGATAACTTGTTTATAATCTGAAGTTCAAGGTTAATATCACAGTGATTTTTGATGGCCTTTCTTTAGGTCAGGGGATCTTAATTTGGGATCCATGGTGTGTCAACACTACCTATAACACCAAATGTGTTTATATATAGGTGATTTCTCTCCCCCCACCCCACCCAGGGAATGAGTCTATCTTTAGATTTTAAAAACTCAAGTATCTATTTATCAAAAAATGAATAACAATTCCATATCTATTTTTTACTAACTGCATAGACTCTAATTGCTCATGTCAGGTTCCTAAGAAAGTCTGGTCCAGCTCATCTTTTATTGCCAGATTTCTGTGGATTAGTGACACCCCTGTGTCACATGTAATCTCCCAGTACAGTTGGCTGTCTGTGATAATATAAGATGATACACAGTAGTACAGATCCATTTCACTTAAAAGGTGCCAGTAAGGAAACAGTAAGTGGCATTACCTATATCGTCATTATTGATCACACATCTCTGGGCAAAGTCCCATGACTTGCTCTGAGAAAAAAACAAAATCAAAACAAACAACAAAAAACAACCCAGATGACCTAAAAATCTGACCAGCCAATGAAAACAGTTGGTTGACAGACAAAATTTGATGTGTCCATCCATATAGCACTATCATTTGGCACTTAGAGGATGAAGTATAGTATTAGATGTTGCCACATAAATCAACCTTGAAAGCATCAAGTGGAAAAAACAAACGATTTTATATATTGTGTTATTTCATTCATATGAAATCTCTGCAATTGACACTATAAAGAGATATATTAAAAGGTACCTAGGGCTCAAGGAGTTAGGAAGGATGTAGATTGACTTTGGAGGTCATAAAAGTTAAAACTGGTGATGGATTATTCAGCCCTGTGTATCCAACCATTGTTGAATTGTATTCAAGGATGAGGTGTGAATTGTATTTAAATGTATTAAATACAATCTTGGCCTCAAGGATTGTAATCTGAAGGAATGTAAATACATATAAGGATCTACAGTTGAAAAGGTGTTAAGTACAATTTTAAAATAAAAATCTGGAATGTAGTAACACATTTTAAACCTTGGTCCTATGATTCACATTTTAAGTATTCGTAGGAAGGTGATATGGTTATAGAGAGTTTTGCAAGGCTAGGGAGGAGAGATGTCACAAAATAAATAGAAGTTAAAGCATGATGTAACAACTGTTTTTGTTTATGTAAAGCAATGAGAAGGACATTCTAGGCCAAGATAAAATTAGGAGTTTCAAAGCAGTCTAAGACTTAAAAGTAATATTAGAAACATTAGGACTGAATTTGACTAGATTTTTTTCATTTGATTTCTGTTTGATTTGATTCTATTTTGTGGTTATAAAGGCCTTGTATCCTGCATTTTCCTTAACAGCTCTAGTTTAGATATGCTGTTCTATTCCCATAAACTCATAATGCTGTCCTGGGCTGTGTCCCCAGCATAGGAGCAAGATGGGGAAGAGGCCCCATAGGAAATGTGCAAATTGTCATAGATATTGATAAGAGAAGCTTATAAATATTAGGTTGCTTTTTAACCTTTGTGAAAAGTAATTCAGCTATTTTGAAAAGTCATATTCTACAGGTTAATGCTTTTAAATTTTGAATGTTTCAGTTCTGGAGGTGGTTTCTAGCAAACCTGGCTTCTGGAGGAGCTGCTGGAGCAACATCTTTGTGTGTGGTGTATCCACTAGATTTTGCCAGAACCCGATTAGGTGTTGATATTGGAAAAGGTACAGTTTTTATAAGTATTAACTATTCCTTTGTTCTTTTAACTATTATGTATTGACATTGTTATCAAATATGTTATATTAGAATTATTTTTATTTATGTGTATGTGTCTGTGTGAATGAATGTCGTGTGAATACAGGTGCCGGGTAAAAACCAGAAAAGGATGTTCAATCCCTGGAACTGAAATTGCAGGCACTTGTTAGCCATCTAGCATGAGTGCTGGGAATGGAACTCATGTCTTTGTAAGAGCAGCAAACACTATTTTAACTGCTCAGCCATTTTTTTCCAGTTCCTAATCTACACAATTTATTCTGAACCAAATATGTAGTCTTTGGGCTTGAATATCTTTTTTCTTTCTTTCTTTTTAAAAGAGAAATTGCCAATGCACATTTAACAAGAATGTAAACCTAAGGCTTGCCTATAACTTGTTTCCTCATGGATCCTTCTGTATGCCTTACTTGTTTGTAGTGGTTCTTGTTTGGTGAGAGTAAAACTCTCACCTTGGAGATTTCCTTTGTTTCTTTCTCAATAGTTTTTCATAATTCCTTATAATTTTGATGAAATATTTCAAGTCAAATTGCTTACTTTTGTAAGAGATTAATATTTCCACTTAATTACTTTTAAAATACCTACTGAAACCTTGAATGAATGGGGAGATTATTTGTGTCCTTTAGTTAGAAATTTTCAGATTATTGAATCTTTAAAATGTTTAATTACTTTAAGATCTTTGATATAAATGTTACTTATAGTTTTCATTGTTTTATTTTAGGTCCTGAGCAACGGCAATTCAAGGGTTTAGGGGACTGTATAATGAAAATAGCGAAGTCAGATGGAATTATTGGCCTATACCAAGGATTTGGTGTCTCCGTTCAGGGTATCATTGTTTACCGAGCCTCTTATTTTGGAGCTTATGACACCGTTAAGGTAATTTGGTGACTTTAAATGGTCTATTGGGTACATGGCTTGTTTTTTGTCCTAATTAGTATATTCTAATTAACATATAATTACTTTAATAACATAAATACAAATAAATGATAAAATGGAGAAGAAATTTTATTTAATCTTAATACATGACAATTATATGAATATAATTCAGTTAAATTAAAACTATTATAACTGAACTGACATGAACATTTTGTCAGCAATGAAGCTTTAAAGGTTTTTAGTATATGTGCTGCCAAAGCAAGCACGCTTTTAAGGTTTGTACAACATAAACAGGATATCATAGAAAGTGCACTGCTTGGGCCTCTATATATTCAGCAGATAAAAAGACATGTTCTAACTTTTTTCTGATTACATTAATTTTATTATCACCTTATGTAGCTAATCAGCATGTAAACTAAGGAAGGGCTAATTTAAACGTGACTTGATTCAACCAGTGGCTACTGTTAGATTCTGTTACTTTTTTTCAGGTTGCTTTGTAGTTTGCCTTTTCAGTTCAGACTTTAATAGCACTTCCATATGCAGTACTTAGTTCTAGAAAACTTTACTAAGTACTCAACAACTTCAAGTTATTTTGTAAGTTTAAGGTGCCTATTTTAAAGATATATAACCTAAGAATTGTTAAGATAGGTATTTATTAAATCAAAAACAAAGCATCTTTGCTCTTAATCACTATAGCATGTTTCCTAAAGGAATCAATTAAAATACTATCAGTGTTTTTTATTAAAAGTTGAGAGGAATTTTACAGTTGACTTTCATGTTACTCCTCTTCCTCTCTTGATAACATGATTGTAGTTAAATAACATTGTGATCTGGAAATGTTTCTTTTAGTTTAGCGTGTTTTTGAAGCTTTTACATTATTGGAAATTGCATCTCAAATGCATCATATAATCATAGAAGATGTCCTGTGCATTCTCCATGTGCCTTTCTGTTATCTCCTGCAGTAGTGGCAGTTAGAAATGCTTCTTCACCAGCATGGAGCTGTAAAGGTGCTCGTCAAATATCATCAGGCATCTTTTCACTCTTCAGCTATACAAGAAAGGCCTTTGTTGGTCAGTGGATGCTGACGTTTTGTTTTAGGTACCATTAACGAGTCTGATTTTAATAGAATATATGTTTTATTTCCATAAATCTGAAGCATCACCATGTGTGAACATCATACCTTTTCTAACCAAATGCTGTTATGTAGTCCAGCTAGATTTGATTTCAACCGTGGTTCTGGATTCTACATGCTAGTAGGCAAGCACTTTACCACTGAGCTACTTTCTCAGCTTCAGATGTTTTTTTAATTGTACTTTATTATGTCATCATCTTTCATATATTTATAAAAAATATCCTTTGAATTAAGAATTTAAGATGCTTTGGAAAACTAGATTATTAATTACTTCATACATTTTTTTTCTCCTAGGGCTTAATGCCAAAACCAAAGGAAACCCCATTCCTTGTCTCTTTTATCATTGCTCAAATTGTGACTACCTGCTCTGGAATACTCTCCTATCCCTTTGACACCGTTAGAAGACGTATGATGATGCAGGTAATGGATTTGTAAGCTTAACTGAATTTGTGTCTTACATGTAGATGTGATGTGTTTGGATTTCAGAGGCATTTTAGCTGAGAGGCAAAGTTCATTTGTCTACTTTGTATACTCCAGCTTGTATTGTTTCATGCTATAAAAGAGCAAGCAGCCAGCAAAGTTTTTTTCCTTTCTGCTATGAGAACAAAGCAGTCTACTACTCATTTTGCTTCTAGGAGTGAGAAGAGTGATAGAGATTGGATGAATATATCCAACTTTTTACATTGTTTTGGAATAATTACTGTTTGATGTTTTTTTTTTTTTTTTTTTTTTTTTGCCTTTGTGTATGTTTGTGTGCCAGCTATGTGCCTAGTGGTGCTTAAGGAGGCCAGAAGGGGGACTTCGGGTCCCCAGGAACTGGATTTACAGGTGGTTGTGAGCCACCATATGAGTTCTGGAAATCAAATTTAGGTCCTTTAAAAGTTCAGCAAGCATTCTGACTACTGAGCAATATCTCCAGCTTCCAGATATCCATCTGAGCTGAAATATTACCTCAAGGAAATTCAGTTATAGACTATTAGCATAATAATTTCCTATTGCGGTATATTTATGATAACCTATGTTCTAAACATAAATGCCTAAATTTTATGTATTCCATTTCTTACGTGTTATATTCATTTGTTCAGTAAATGTTTGACTGCTTAGTCTACACTAAATTCTGGTGATACAAATAGAACCTGCATCCAAACTCAGTGCTGTATTGAAGACACACAGTTATTTATGATTAAAAATAAATGTGTAAAGGACCTAGGAATGCCTAACAAAGGAATGCACACTGCCTAGGTGATCAGAATCAGCTTTCTTAAAGCAGAATCTCATTGACTGGAGTAGAACCCATGGAATATGCAACTTTCCTTGTGATAGTGACTTTGACAGTTGCATCTCTGAGGCAATAATTTTATAGTTGTAGGATTTATTTTCCTGGAAATTGTAAATTATGTTTTTTAGGTTTAATTTTCTATGTTTTCTGAGTTTTAAAAATATCATGAAGTTTGTTATATGTTATTGTTTTAAATCTCAGATCACCTGCATTTATGTTGTCCTTGACATTTATAATAATTTGGAGGCCATTCTTTTTCTAAAACATACAGAAAATTTTCCCCAAAATATTTCAAATAACTGATTTAACTTTTCATGTTATTTTTTTCATTATTTTTTATTTAAAACATCTTTGTGTGTTTCTGCATTCATCTGTGTGAGTGAAGGTATGCATATAAAGGTCATAAGACAACCTCAGATGTCAGGCCTTGCTTGAGACCTGCCTCTTATTTACCTGCCACTAACAGGTTAGCTCTCCCTTGAACTTCCAGGAGTCTCCAGTTTCCATCCCATCCCCTACAGGAGCCCTAGAACTTCAGGCTTCAAGTGGGTTCTGGAGGTCTGAAGTTAGGTCCTCACACTTAAGTAAGCTCTACACTACCTCCCCAATCAAAAGCTCTTGTTTTCTGCTTCCTTTATGACTTGTGCTTACTTACTTGTTCTGTTTTGTTTATTATAAAGCTTTTAAATCCGATTCATTTTTTAACCCCTTATAAACTTATCACTAGTACAGCATCTACAGATTAATTTAAAGAATCTTGGGGTCATTTTTTTTTCCAGGCTTTCTCTTAAAAAATATTTTCCTAATGGCAAAACATATTTTCCTAGTGTTTATTTTTGTCTACTTTTTTCAGTTAATTATGAAATGTGGTGAGATTAAACCACGGTGTATGTGATTTCCTTTAATGTTTGGCAAACACAGTGTATGGTCAGTTTTCAAATGTTTCTGAAAAATGTGAACATTCTTCACTCTCTCAGTACAGTATTAAGTATATTCTCATTAACTGAACACAGCATTAATGTTATCCATAGTGCTGATTCCTAAAACATCCTAAAAGATAAGAAACTAATAGAAAATTATTTGTCTTTTTAACATAGAGCGGTGAGTCCGAACGGCAATATAAAGGAACCATAGACTGCTTTATGAAAATATACCATCATGAAGGAACTGCTGCATTCTTCCGTGGTGCCTTCTCCAACATCCTTCGTGGTACAGGTGGTGCTTTGGTGTTGGTGTTATATGATAAAATCAAAGAATTCCTCAATATTGATATTGGAGTTGGTTCATCAGGAGAGTAAATCGAGAAGTGCTTATTTCTAATGTACAAAAACATGATAATTGCATAGCTGCCATTTTTATATATTTTGATAGTGTGTTACTACTGTCAGTGTCTCTTACAGTGTTTATTTTGCAATAAAGAAAAGACTTTTTCAAGATTTTAGTATTAAAAGTCAAAACAAAATGGGTTATCTTCCCACGTAGACCCAGAATCATTTAGTGAGGCATTTTGTTATAGGTAGTGTATGTTACTTCTGTTGAAAAAAATCTTAACACTTGTGATGAACACTGTATAATGTGAAGTCTGAGAAATGGAAGTATCTTTAAATTTCTGTTTGCTTAGGACAGCTGTAATCCCATCTTTCAGAAATTGTATAGTATGGCAAATAGTTCCTAAACATTTATCAAGGGTTGTCATCAGTAACTCTTACATAAATCAGCTTTCTTCTACAGTTAATGCAACTCAAGCATGACTGTTAGCACTTATAGTACCATAGTTTTGATAAACACAAATTGTACCAAAAAGTTGATAATGACTTAATGACACTATCAAACTATTTTAAAAGTATAGAATGGGTTATTTGCTAAAGTTTAGTATTGCAAGTGTGAGTTTATCTTGGAATAAGAAATCTCCCTTAAATATTAGATTTTGTATTCTGTATTGATAATAAAGCAAATTCAAAACTACTGTGATGAGCCTTTTCTCCCCAACACACACACACAAATTTTACCTATAAGCACACTATCAGAACTATTTGTTTGTTTTGAGACAGGGTTTCTCTGTATATCTCTAGCTGTCCTGGAATTCACCCTATAGACCGGGCTGGCTTCTAACTCACAGAGATCTGCATACCTCTATTTTCCTGAGTGCTGGTATTAAAGGTGTGTACCACCACTGCCCAGCTATAGTAACATTTTTGATGAAGTGAAACTAGCTTACAGCTAAGCAACAAAAGAATGTTCCTCAAGCTGGGCATGGTGGAGTATGCCCATAATCCTAGCACTGTAGGAGACTCAGGCAGGAGGATCCAGAGTTCAAGACATAGAGATTTATGGATTAATAGAGAGACCCTGTCTCATAACAAATAATTCTCTAAGGAGAAGTGTTAAGTGCTATTTCCAAGTAGTAGGAGATGCTCATTTTTTTTTCAGAGATGGGAATATTTTCCCACATTAAAATGAGCTAAGATATTACTATTTATAGAGCCATACTTGGAGGAAAAAAATCTTTAAAGTCCTGAATAGCACAGGTAAAGAATGAGCTATTCACCAAGATGCTTAGCATCCTAGATTGAGCTGAACTCTGTATGACACTAAACTGTTATCAAAGATCAGTTACAGTGAACAAAATAGTATAGGCTTCATAAGGAAATATCTTAGTATTGAGACTAGTGTTGGCAAAGCACAGCAAAGGTATGCTTAAATTGATACTTAATTACTAGTGCTCAATTTGTTAGTCTTGTTTATTAGTAAGTTCCTTTATATTTTTTTCTAAAACACAGAAGTTAGAGCAACATTTTTTTTCATGGAATATTTGAGTCAACATGCTGACTGAAGTTGAACAGTGAATTTAAAATAAGATCTGTTGTTTCTGTTCATGTGTTTTTCAATGGGAATTAGCAAAATGCAATTTATTCAAGTGTTATTGAACCTCTGTTTAGTATGTGGACATTATTATATTTTAGTCAGTTCTATAAAATAGTACTGTGGGAGGCATAGTATCTTTTTCTACCAAAAGGGGCCTCATTATTTTACTTTCTGAGAATTTCATACATGAATAAAATACATTTTGATCAAATGCACTCCCCTCCAATTTCTCCCATATTTTCACCAGCACTATTCTTTACCAACCAACTTCTAGTACGAGTGTTTTAAACCCACTGAGTTAATTTAGTGAGCATGGGTATATAAAAAGCTATTGGAATATGGGTAGCCTCTCATGTGGCTACATCTGGGAAGAAACTGATTCTCCCTCCTTTAGCAGCCACCACTTACCAATAGCTCCTTAGCCAGTGGTGGCACTTAAAGAGCCTCTTCCCCGTGCTGGGATTCTATCTGACTTGATCTTATGCAGGTCTTGTGCATAAGCCACTGTGAGTTCTTCTGGCAGATACCATTTCACTGTAAACATCTACTCTTGCTCATTCAGTCTTTCCATCCTGTCTTCCATCATGATCCCTGAACTGCTAGGGTGTGATATAGATGTCTCATATAGAGTTGGGAGATAGTTTCTTTACACCTTGACTAGTTGTAGTTCTCTGTACTAGTTGTTTTCTACTGTAAAAAGAAGCTTCTTTGAAGAGGGTTGAGAGACACACAAGCATGAAGGTCTAGATAAGAACTGAGGGGCAGTGATCATTATTTTCATTTAGCTAAATAATAGTATTAGAATCTCTCACCAGGACCTGTGACATAACCAGCGACAGGTTTTTGGCCCAGGTAAAGGTATCAAGCAAGAATTCTGCCTTGTGAAGCTGTCGTTAAGCTCAATCATTCTCACCACCATTGCCTCAATGGGATATCTTGTTGGGCCCGCTGTTCCTGTAGCTTTCAGATTTCACAGCATGGCAACTTCGTTGATTGTATTTCTTCCTGGATAGTATGCATAGCACCTTCCAGAACAGAAGCTAGCCAATAAGGATTAAGATTCTAAGTTGATACTGGTTTGACTTCTCCTTGTCTTGTGATTTCAAGTATGTGTTGTCATCAGCAATAGGGTCTTACCCTCGTGTTCTATAAGGTAACCAAGAACAGTGTAATTGCTTGTGGGTTTGGGGATCTCTGGAACCCCACTGACCACCCAAAAAGGTTGAAAAGAGGTAATCCATGCCTAGCACTGGGGTTTTTATTTACTAGTCTGTGGTATCTGAGGGAGGCATTGCTCCTTATTACAGAGAAACTCCATTCCATAAAGTCTCTCTCTCTCTCTCTCTCTCTCTCTGTCTCTCTCTTATGTGTGTGCACACACACACATTTTACTTACTTAATTTTTTTTAGGAAGCTTCTAAGGTAGTAAGCTTCCATATGGAATTTTCAAAGACCTTAAGTGTTAATTATCCCTTACTGTGATTACTCCTCTCCCTGCCCATTCCCCCATTTAATCCTTCCTGTTCCATATTTCTTTTTCCCCATTCATAACCATGTGTGTTCTCTTGAAATCCACCCTGCCATTGCCCCTTACTAGTTTTCCAATTCAGATACACATATTTGAAATTCAAATCTAGCATCCATTATAAGTGAGAAGACGTCATATTTGTCATTCTAGATCTAGTTACCTCACTCTGTCTAGTTACATCCATTTGCCTGCAAATTTCACAATTTTACTTTTCTTCTTTACAACAGAATGATATTCCATTTTGTATAACATAACAGCACATTTTCATTATCCATTCAGCAGTTGATGAATATCTAGGATGTCTCCATTTCTTGGCTATTGTGAATGCATTAGCAAGGAACATAGTTGAACAAGTATCTTCGTAATAGGACTGAGAGTCCTTTGGGAATAAGAATGACATAGGCAGAACATGTGGTCTGTAGGTGTAGCTTTTTGAAGAACATCAATACTGATTTCCATGGTGTCTAAATACCAGCAATAAATGTTCTCTTCTCACATCTACATTGGTATTTTGTTCTCTCTCTCTCTCACCTTTCCCCCCCTCTCTTTCTCTCTGTGTCTCTCTCTTTCTCTCTCTCTGGCACTTCTGATTAAAGTAAGATAAAAATCTCAAATAATTTTGATTTGCATTTCCCTAATGACTAATATTTTGAATATTAAAAATATTTTTCAGCCATTTATATTTCTTCAAGAACTCTAGTTCTATACTCTAATTTTTAATTTGGTGGTTTTCTTGATGTTTGGTTTTTTTTTTGTTTGCTTGTTTTGTCTTGTTTGTTTTGAGTTTTCTGTAGACCCCAAACCTTTGTCATATATATATATATATATATGAATTTGGTGACGTTTTTCCCATTCTGAAGACTGCTCTTAATTTGAATGCTTCTGTCCTTTGATATTTAGAAGCTTTTTAGGTTAATGAGGGGTCCCATTTGTCAGTTGCTGGTCTTAAGGGCTCTGTTACCAGGATTCTCTTCAGGAAATCTTTTCCTGCCCCTGTAAGTTGAAGCATAGTCCTTCTCTATTAGATTTGGGGTATCAGGTTACATTGAGTTGGAGTTTTTTCCCAGGGTGAGAGATAAGGATCGAGTTTGATTCTTCTACTTACAGATATCCAGTTTGAGAAGTGTCATTTGTTGAAGATGCTGTGTTTTTTCCAGTGTGGAGTTTTTTTCCTTAAAGTCAGATGACATGGGAGCAAAGGCTTATGTATCTTGGTCCCCAATTATATTCCATTAATTTGCATGCCTGTTTTTATGCTAGTACCATGCTGAGTTTCTTATTACAGCTCTTTAATATATCTTGAAATCCGGGTGACAATACCTCTGGTAGTATTTTTATTGTTCAGGACTTTTTTTTTTTTTTTTTTTTTTTTTTTTTTTGGTTATCCTAAGTCTTTTGTGTTTCTGTGTGAATTCTGAGGTTATTTTTCCAATTTCTGTGAAGAATTGTATTGGAATTTTGGTGGGGGTTATATTGGTTCTATAGATTTTACATATAAATATACACATACATACATATGTGTATTCTCAAGTTTGGGGTGGCATATTTTGTAGATGACTTTTAGATCCATTTGACTCTGGTGTTTCTCTGTTTAGTTTTTGTTCAGATGATCTGTCTTTGAAGAGACTGAAATATTGAAGTAACCCAGTGTCACTATTTTTTTTTAAAAAGAAATTGGGTGTTTTATTTGCTGCACGCATGTTTAAAATCATAATATCCTCTTGATATTAGTTTCATGCATATTAAGAGACTTTATCCCCACTGACAAGCTTTGTTTAGTCTGTCATATGTTAGAATACAGCTGCCATCCCTTCCTCTGTATAGTTGATGTTAAGGTGTGCTTCTTGGAGGCAGCAAAAGATAGATCCTATTTTCTGATTCAGTCAGCTATTTCTATCTTTTTATTGGGTGAATAGAAATCATTTATATTCAGTTATTGCTGACAGGTGTTAATTCCTGTCATTTTAATTTTGTGGTATTTCTATGACCTCTTTGGAAAGACTCATGACTGAAATATTTCTTCTAGTGTCATTCAGCAGAGCTGGCTCAGTGGTCATAAATTTCTTCAATCGGTTTTTATCATAGAATGGTTTTATTTCTCCTTTGATTTTTAATAACTAGCTTTGCTAGGTATAATAGTCTGGGC